AAAAACGTATGTGAGGAAGGCTGAACTTGATGGATGCAAGTCTCTTTTCAGCTATGTAACTATGTAACTATATATATAGTGCAGCACAAACATAATGTCATCCAGTAACCAAGGCTGTAGCTTTTACCTCTAAGCCTAAAGCTGTGACAATCAGGGGAGGCAGGACCGTAGTGCCCCCATCACAGTTTGTTGCAATATATAAAAGAAAAATTAAAACTATTGGCATGACAAGGTCTAAAGATATATATGTGTTGGTATGTTCCCATTTATTGGCTATAGACCCCTCAAACACACGTATTGTCCTTTCTTCTAGGTCTGTCATTGGGTATCAAGAACACGGCATGGAGTCAAATTCCAGAAGTACAGTCCAACGCTCAACCATCTTTAAACTTCAACAGCACCTGCTGATGTCAAATGCCAGTGTTATTGTAATATTAAGAGAGAAATAATATCTACAATTACATTATTTTTGCAATCTTAATGAACCATATTTCAAGTTAATGATACAGCACAGTGTGATATTGCTACGGGTGCAGGATTTTATGGCAGTGGGCTGGTTTAGATAACAAATCATGGCTTGGGGTTAACGAGGCAGGTGTGGAGTTTATAAATATAGGTTTATATAATACTCTGAATTCAACAAAAGATTTGGTGTCACAATGTAGTTTATAGAACATGTTAGGGTTTATAGTTAGACTAATGGAATGCTATAGGTATGGTTTGGGGGTCTTAAACCCCCAGTCTCTTTGTCACCTAGAAATTCCCCTACTCTTAACACATTGGCAAATGAAGAAAGTCATGAAGCCTAAATTATGTGTGGACTGGGATATAACCATAGCTTAACAAAGGATATCATTTTAATGACCAACCCAATTTAAAATTCTTAAAGGGACACTATAGTCACCAGAACAACTACAGCTTAATGTAGTTGTTCTGGTGAGTACAATAGTTCCCTTCAGGTTTTTTTTTATGTTAACACTGTCTTTTCAATGTTTACATTGCCTCTAGGAACACCTCCAAGTGGCCACTCCTTAGATGGCCACTGGAGGAGTTTCCTGGGTTAGTACTGCCAAAAAAACTACCCACTCTGCATGGAGACGCTGAATTTTCCTGCATCTCTATGAGGAGGTCCTGATTGGCCAAAACAGCATTTGGCCCTGCCCCGTGCTGATTTTAGCCAATGTGGTCATTTTGATGATGTCACAAATGGGGCGGAGCCAGCGCCGGCGGACCCGCGCGGAGCTGGAAATAAGGTAAGTTTTAAACATTTATAGGGTGGCTAAGAGTGGGCAAGCCACCTAAATGGTGGGTTAAACACTATAGGGTCAGGAATACATGTTTGTGTTCCTGACCCTATAGTGTTCCTTTAGCCTTCCACTCTCAGGACTTTATCTACAGGCAGTTTTCTGCATTGGCGAACCAGCGAAGTGTGGGTTAACATGGCATTCTTCAAACACGGCAGTCAGAGATGTACATAACACAGACAAGAAATGAGAAAAGTGACAGATGTGGGGGCTGCAAAGCTGTCTTGGAGAGAAGGTGTAAGCTTTTCAGAGACAAGCATAAATGAACGTTTACTTGGAACGAGTATTAATTTTGGAAAGAAAATGATCAAATGTGAGTTTATTTACATTTGTAGTTGGTGTCTGATCCAGAAGGCCCCTTCAGTCATGCACACAGGCCTGTCAAAGACCCAAAGGGGTTGGCACATTTCAGAAATAATGGCTCCTCAGAAATTACCTGTACCAGAATGCCAGCCCAGTAAAGAATTTTCGTATTTAAAAATAAAAATGATGTATTAGCATATCAGACAGGGCATAATTTGAAGATTAGAGACTGTTTTCATAGCATGAATGGTTCTAAATGATCATTTGTATTTAATATGAGAAGTACAGATCTGTACAGCATTTCAGTAATAGGATAGTCCGTAGTTTAGAAATGTGAGCCTTGTGAATGGTTTAAAGAGACAAAAGCATGTCTCTACTGGTTCTATTGTTTCTCCTTCACTTGTAGCTACTGCGCTACCTTTTAACTTTGAAAGGTGTGTGTATAGAGTAGACTAGACCAAGTCCAAATTATACACACTGGTTTATTTCTTCATAAATCACATCATACTTTTTTAAAATCAGAGTATAGTTACTGTGCCCCTTCTAGATCAGTACACGCTGAATTATTATTAAAGGAACACTATAGGGTCAGGAACACAAACATGTATTCCTGACCCTATATTGTTAAAACCACCATCTAGCCCCCCTGGTGCCCCCTGAATATAGTAACATCTTACCTGTATTCAAGTCTGAAGCTGCTGCCTCTGCCCCTGAATTTCCTCTGTTTGCTGACATCATCAGAAGTGGTAGTCTGAGCCAATCACAATGCTTCCCCATAGGATTGGCTGAGACTGTCAAGGAGGCAGATCAGGGGCATAACCAGCACAAGTCAAACACAGCCTTGGCCAATCAGCATATCCTCATAGAGATGAATTGAATCAATACATCTCTATGAGGAAAGTTCAGTATCTGCATGCAGAGGATGGAGACACTGAATGGCAGTGCTGCTCACTCTGCAGCACTGCCCCAGGAAGCACATCTAGCAGTCATCTGACGAGTGGCCAGTGGAATTATCTCTGAAAAGACAGTGTTTACTGCAAAAAGCCTGAAGGGAATGATTCTACTCACCAGAACAAATACAATAAGCTGTGGTTGTTCTGGTGACTATGGTGTCCCTTTAACCTATCTTCGTTGTTGATCCATACAAGTCTCTTCCCTAAAATGCAATACGGTCTCATAATGCCATGTTGATTTAGTACATTAGGAGATGTCATTATATTTGAAGAAATTGTGCCTCTTATCATTCTCTACCTCAAAGGGACACTATAGGTATCAAAACAACTTTACCTAATTTAAGCAGTTTTGGTGTATTGATCATGCCCCTGCAGTCTCACTGCTAATTTTGTTTGCAATTTAGGTGTTAAATCACATTGTTTATATAGCCATAGTCACACCTCCCTCCATGTGACTTCCATAGCGTTCCTAAACACTTCCTGTAAAAAGAGATCTAATGTTCAAACTCCCTTTATTGCACATTCTTTTTAATTTGGGATTTTTTATCTCCTGCTCTGTTAATAGTCTGGTAGACCCTGCAGGGTCCTCCTGTGTGGGATTAAAGTTCCATTTACGGAGCAATAGAAAAACGTCTGTAGGAAGTTAACATCTGATTGAAAATGAAACCAATTTTTTATGCATGCTATGTGAGTCATAACCAGGGGAGGTGTGGCTAGGGCTGTATAAACATAAACAAAAGTGATTTAAATTTGAAATGGCAGAGAATTTAGCAGTGAGACTGCAGGAGCATGATTTATACCTCAAAACTAGTTCATTAAATTAAAGTTATTTTGATGCCTGTAGGGACCCTTTCAGGTGGGTCTAGTGTGAGCATACCACCTTTATATATACAGGTTATCTGTAAATGATTGAATCTATAACGTGCTATGAAAATGGCAAGCAAATCTAACAACATCTATTCAACATTTTTCTTCAGGTGTTGGGAAAAAAAATAATCTAGCAAACTTTTCCAAAATGTGAAATATAAAAATTGTACGTTATCTAAAGGTAAACCGTTAAATTTCTTGAAATTACACCAGTAAACACATTATTTATTTATTAAAAGGGCAAGTCTTAAACTATTGATTGCCACGGAGCCAAGATGGAGGCTCCTCACTACAGTTAAATAGAGCAATTGTTTTACAGCATTTCATTTTATTTTTCAAACCTCACAAACACAGATAATTTATATATATATATTTTTAAAAAAATCATTGAAAGAGACAATTCCCTTTAATGGTGTCAAAATTGCTTGCTTTGTAGACAACACTGAGATCCTAAGCAGGACCTTAAGGTGGGATTAAGAAATGTTTGCATTTCTATGGTTACATGGGAATAACTGTGTGAAATGACCATACTAAGAGACTTTCCATAACAATACAGGTAGCTGTGAAAAAGTGTTTATTGTATACTGTAATGATTTCTCTAAAATGGGAACTTTATCCCAGAAATCTAAGGACATTTTAAAAATAAAACAAGCATCTCAAAGTCTATATGATTGATTTGCAGTGTATTAAAGTGGCATTGCAACACAAACTTTTTTAATATAGTCACACAGAGCATATTGAAATACAAAATATCAATGTAGCACAGGACACCAGAATCACAGGGCATCCTACAGCACCCTAATAATAAAAGATCCCAGATTTAGCGCACAACACACTAATCACAGAGCTCCCTAGATGGAGCACAGAAACCTGATGGCTGTGTACCCAGAATGGAGCACCCAGCCCCCTAAATGGAGCACCGTTATCACAGTGTACCGTGGATAGAGCACCTAACACTCAAAGCACTCAGTATCCTTATCACAATGTACCCGGAATGGAGCTCCCAGCACTCTAATCACAGAGCTCCTTAGATGAAGGCACAGTATCCTAAACATCCTTAATAGAGTATCCAGAATAGCACCAATCACACTAATCACTAATACCCAGAGGAAGCAGCTGGCACGCTAATCACAGAGCTCCCTAGAAAGTGCAAGTACTCCAGGTGGAGCACACATTATTGTATTTAAGGTTAATACACAGTAAGGGCACTACCTGGCATGATTAGACCCAGTTGTTCTTTACATAGAGATGAGACCAGGCTGGGACGATGCCATGTCACAGCATACTCTGCTCTTAGAACTCTGCCTCCTGATGATCCGTGCCTGGCACTCCCTCCTGAGACATGCCTGGCATTGCCTCCTGAGCCAAACCTGCCACTGCCATCTGACCCATCCCTGACACTGCCATCTGAAACATGCCTGGCACTGCCTCCCGAGCCTAACCTGTCACTGCTTCCTGATCCATGCCTGTCACTGCCTCCTGAACAATGTCTGGCACTGCCATCTGACCCAATTCTGGCACTACCATCTGAACCATGCCTGGCACTGCTTTCTGATCATAACTGGCACTACCTCCTAACCATGCCCTACACAGGTTGCTCCGGGTGTCTCCTGCTCCCAGCTCGGCCACACCTCCCGGTAGCTCCAGCCCTGCATTACTCACTCCTGCTGGCAGTACTGCTGCTGCCTCCTGTGAGAGTGCTGGATGTTCTGCCAGGCTGGGAACTCTCCTGCCACAGGTAAGTCACTGCCCCCTCCCCCCTCGGCTGCCCACTGGCACTGCCCATGCTGCTTCCTAAAGCTCAGTAATTTTTAATTAATGGATCTCCTTCAGCTTTAGCAATCCCTTCCTCCCCGACAGCTACATGTAATATCTCACAGGCACTATTATAATATATACTCTGTCCTGTATATATAATAACCTACCTATACATACTGTATAACCTACTCTACATGGGTATATACCCTCCCTGCCCCTGTATATATAATAACCCACCTGGCATACATACTGTATAACCCACTCTACATGGGTATATACCCTCCCTGCCCCTGTATATATAATAACCCACCTGGCATACATACTGTATAACCCACTCTACATGGGTATATACCCTCCCTGCCCTTGCATATATAATAACTCACCTGGCATACATACTGTATAACCCACTCTACATGGGTATATACCCTCCCTGCCCCTGTATATATAATAACTCACCTGGCATACATACTGTATAATCCACTCTACATGGGTATATACCCTCCCTGCCCTTGTATATATAATAACCCACCTGGCATACATACAGTATAACCCACTCTACATGGGTATATGCCCTCCCTGCCCCTGTATATATAATAACCCACCTGGCATACATACTGTATAACCCACTCTACATGGGTATATACCTTCCCTGCCCCTGTATATATAATAATCCACCTTGCATACATACTCTATAACCCACTTATATAGCCAGTGTATAATGCCCTCCCCCCGTAGTATATATTTAATAAACTAACTTGCAGTATTCATGTAATTATCCATCTGTATAAATGTTAACTAACTTGGCAAAATATTTGTAACATCACACAATGTATTTGTAATAACCCCTGGATGTTATTACATGTACAGTGCCAAGTAAATGTATCATATGTGGGCTGCCAGGAGAATTATTACATAAGTTCTTATGGTGATTATCACATATGCATTGCCAGCTCATATAACATATGCATTGTATGGGTACAGTATTCAAATAAACTAGTGGATTTACAAAAATTACAAATAAAGCGGGATTTAGTATATGCTCCAATTTTTGCTGCGGCATATGATATATAAACTGTATAGATGTTTATTATATATAAATTTTGGCAGGGAATTCACTGCATATTACAGATATACTGTTACGGGAGTTATTACATATACAGATACTGTGTTAAGCACCTTGCACTATGTTTGTAATGTCCCCTTGCCTGTGACTACATAATGAGGATTACATATAGATTACAATGTTAAGGAGACATTTATAATGCAATTGGAAAAGGCATGTGAGTGATGTATGGCTCTTGGCTGACTATGATAAAGAGAGGTTTTCACTAAAATAAGAATGCAAAATTTGAAACATTCTCTAAGTCACCAGTGTTTCAGTACAGCTACTTTGGTACCAGAACACTCCCCCCCAACCCCGCCAACCCCCCAAAAAAAAATATAGCACTGGTAATATTATTTAGAGATTTTTAATATAACCAAATGCTTTATCACAATCCTTTACAAAATATTTGTGGATACATAACAGTAACGATAGTAAACTTAGAATCTGGTAGAATCATACCAGCCAACCCAGTCCTCAAGTACCCCTCAACAGTCCAGGATTTAGGGATTACCCGGTTGTGTCTCAGGTGTTTTTAGAAGAAGAAAAAAACAACACTTTAGACACAGCAAGGTAATCCCTAAATCCTGGGCTGGTAGGGGGTTTTTGAGGACTGGGTTGGGAACCCCTGGACTAGAATAATATTGCCAATACTAGGGGAAGGACAGGTAGGTGTCTGGAGTTTAACAGATTATTAGCTAAAGTGAGAATTGTCAGGATGTCAAGTGTACTAAATGTAAGTTTCAGATTTAAGGCCAAAATAGCTGAACTGAAAACATTGTCCAACAGCTGGTGATTTACTTTTTGTCTAGCCATGGATCAGTGAATAATGGTTTTGCTAAATCTGGATATTGTTTACATTACTGTTAATTCCTACTTGGCTACTTTGGCCAAAAACCTGTACAACGCATTACCAATGACCTCTTAGATAATGACCCCTGATGTACATTACACAGTCTCTGGCACAGATTAAGCATGGCTCTAATGTGCTCCTATGAGGAAAGATTTATGCATGATATTTGCATATGACTAAATTTACATATTGTTCTGGCATTCACTGGTCTGGGCTCTAGACCAGCTCAACCCAAGTCTACTGCAAGGCAGGTATTTATGATGTATTGAGATTCTGTGATTCTGTTTACTTGTTCAGACTCTGTACGCATTCCTAGCACTGGTGGATGATGTCATGGACTGCATCTCTCACAATGCTCTTACAACCATAATTCCGGCAAAGCATCAGGGGAGATGTAGTCTACCACATGTCTAGATGTTACTCTGGTATAGCTGTGGATGTGCTTTTTATTATAATCTGGCATCATAATTCATCATCCAAACTTGTCTGGAGACTCATACAAATATTAATTAATTCATTTACAGTTATTTGTGCCAGGATTGTAGTGTAGTTGCAAGTAGTTTCGTGTTTGAAGTCCTAATAAAGGGCATGTATTATTCACACAAATAGTTCAAAATAGTCATCATTGCTTGGAACTCAATTAGCAATACTACTAAAAGCCATTTTTCTAGTTACCGACGGAGCTAAATGATCATTTTATGAGGGTGTTGTACATAAAATGCTCAAGTTAGGAACTGTTACGGGTAATGACTTGGCTAAAGGATACTGTAAGCAGCATAACCACTGTAGCTAGTAGCAGCGGTTGTGATGCCCGGTGTAGCCCTAGGTGCAGTCTCCATAGTGTTTTTGAAACCACTTCTAATGGTTAGATGAAAACCCGGTGATTTACTGGCACAGAGCCCACAAACTCTGTCTTAAATGTCCTGAAAAGGGATTTCATACATGTTGTATGGTGTGGGCATGTATAATATAGTTTTGTTGTGCAGCGACAGATTGTTAGCCCTTGGCCTTTTTGGTCATCAGATAGTTTACGTCATCGATGCACTGCTGCAACTGGTCACAGCAGAATCCTGCTATAGACCAGTACTAAAAGACTATCATTACACACAATGCATAATCTCACAGTGCAAATTTTTATACAGATAGAGATTTTTTTTTGTTAAAACAATTTGACATCAAATCTTGCACCATAACCACTGTATTAAGTATTTCTTGTTATGCTTGATATTGTGAAATATAAATACACACATCCTTGATAAGTTTCCAGTAGGAGTAGGTTTTCATTCAGTTTTTCTTTTTGTGATCATTATGTTAGGGCCCTTTAAACTAACTTGTTCTGATGGGGTAGTTTTATATTCTCCCTAAAATAAGGTAGATATCCTTGTCAGCAACACTGTAAAAATCGGGTATCTATTAAAAAATGTCCCATTTAAAATTAGAATTTTGAAAATTTCAGTGTAATTCTTCAGTCTTTTTGTAAGATACTTATCTCACAGAGTAGGCTGCTGGCAGGCAGCAATGTTATATCCTGACATTAGCTGGCAATTAGCAGAACTATGAACACTTCACAGCTTCAGAGCTGTGAAACAGGGAGTTAACTCCCTGGTAAGTCTTATAATAAACACTCTGCCTGCCTGTCTGTAATGATATATATTATGGGGAATGTGTATAAGTGTATATCAAGATAAATTGAAGTCAGTTTGTAAGTGTGTACCTGTATACGTTAGTGTTGAAGGGGTTATGTGCAAGGGAATATGTGTTTTAAGTACGTATTTGATAGTCAGCATGTTAAGAGTATATATCTGTATATAGATATGTTGGAATGTGAATATTTAGCTCTTTTGGGGGTATTCTAATCAACAATAACAACAATCAGCATCTCAATGAATATTTCTGAAAATTTGATGGAACTTGTGAATGTGTGTTTGTGCATGCAAGGATTGAAAACCAAATGGTAAAATTTACACAAAACTAAGAAATATGCAAAAAATATCCAACTCCGTTACAATTGTTATTGCTAAATTTTGCTTTTGATATTTTAATTTACAACAATTTGGTGCTTAGTGACTAAGTCGAATATAGAAAGAATATCTTTGTGTATAAGTGTTTGTATGTATATGTGAGATAGTGTTTGTGTGTCTATGTGTAGGCTACCATCACCCTTCTTGCAGTTAAATAGTTAAATGCTACAATGCTGACCTGTCTAGTGACATAACTGATTATTTAGCAGAGATGATGCTGTTTCTAATCATTTCAACCCATTGTCTGATTTTGCACTGCCCCTAATTCCTCTGAGTTTCCATTGTACAACAGAGCAGGCAGTGGAGTGCAGTCACTCTAGAAATGAGTCTGATAGAAACAGATTGTTGGTACGTTGGTACTCTCTCTCTTATTTCACTGCTGGAAGATTTCAATGTCTCTTTCCCAGTAACTTTCAGAAGCCGATTAAACATTTTTATGAAAGAAAAAGTAGCATTATCAGTCTCAGGTTTAATTAAAACCATTATTTGATTGCAGAAATGGAGCCAGATCTTCAGTGTTGCTGCAGGTGAAGTTACAGGGTAATAAAGGTAAGTAGTCATTTAATTCTTGGCATCCTGTAATTTATAAATCAAGTCTTTTGTCCTCTCTTTGCCTTTTTCTAACCCTGTAATCATCTGGAGTTTCTACGTTAACACCGGTCATTAAACTATTTGTTGTTAGAATAAACCTCAACTGAAACGAAAAACGATTCTGCTTACGCACACTCCTTGGAACGTTCTCTGAACTCTGCAATAAGAATAACCTCGCTTTCATTAAAACTGTACATTGATTTTTAATCAGTAATTAAAATAGCTGTATATAAAATGATGGGGGAGATATTCATAAATCAGTGAATTTTAGAGAATTTAAGGCTGAACTGCATATATTAGGCTAAAATAACTACTCTAGAACAAATCTTCAACTCAGTTACTTTAATTTATTCTGAATTTTCTCATTGTTATTTGCTGTTTAGTTATGTTGTTTCTTCTTTGTGTCTGCCTGAGCAGTATGGGAGTTGTAGCTGGCAGTTGGTAGGTTAACAGGTTTTAAACTTAGATCTTGCAGAAGGCTTGAAAATAAATACCGTTAAAGTTTACATTCATTGTACGTCGGTCATCCACAAGTAAAAATGTTAAAGCATTAATTAATTACTTGCTTTAATTCAGATTGTTACGTGTGACCAATTCACAATATTTTACTAATAGTCATCATAAACTTCACACAGTTTCAGGTTTGATAAAATATTTTTCTTAACTCGATTTTCCTGTTTCTCTAAACATGAATCTAACTATAGGTAAATACTTGCAACAACAAATTGTGTTCTCAGTCTAAATTCGCACGGTAGTTATGTTATCTTGTGTGTCCTATTATTGGGTTTGTAGAGATAGAAGTTTCTCGGAACAGAACGTGTTATCTGAGACCACATATCAAAGTTTTTGTTTTGGAATTTTTTTTTTAAATTTAAAAGTAGAGTATTTTCCATGATGTTTGATAAATTTGTATATTTTGGCATGGTTCGTAAATTTGAAGTAAACATATGTGCACTTGCTTAATTTTCCCTGACTGATATGCACCGATTGCATCAGAAAGTATTCCACCATCTATTTTCAATAGAATGTCGACCAAATAACATAAAAATTTAGCACAATCAGAAAATTGAGATGGCACATTGTTTAATGCCTTGCTGATCTTTTAAGGAAACATCTAAGTTACAAAATACATATTTTTTTAAGGATCCTTTTTTCAAAATAGAATGAAAAACAATCAGGGAATTACAAATTTTAAGCTAGACTATAGGAATTGAAAATTTCTCCAATGAAGCTATTGGGCTAAAATGTGTCGCAAATACCAAGCAGTTTTCAAATGTCAGGCTGAAATTTGAAATGTTCCAGTAAACCATTAAATGCTCCAATACCATTAGGTTGGGTGATGAAAAGCGGGGCTTTCACAACAGAGATGTAGCGACACTTCCATGGTGTTAAGACCTCCGTAGAGGTCAGATCTCGCCATATGAGTGACTTAGTTAAACAGTGACCATCACTACCAGTGAGATAGTGTAGTGAATAGAGCTTCAGTTGCAGTATCTCAGAGACACAAGCTTGATTCTTGACACTAGAGTCACGTCAGTGCACTTTTTCATTCTTCCAAGGTCAATAAAATGAATACCATTAAGTTGGGTAACAATTATCCCTAGATACCAAGGGATTTCGGCATTTGGGATTTCCGTAGAAAAGTCGAAATCTAGTTCTTCTGGTTAAAACCAGTGATGGTATTACTGTCCTATGTTGTTTCTAAAATATTTTTCAAGGTTTTATTCTCTCTCTCTCTCTCTATGTCCTCCAAACAGGAGAATCTTGGGTAGTATCTTCTAGATCCTTTGATTTTGGAACAACGAATGGATAATGGCTGCAGAGTTTATAAAGAGTTGCTGTAAAGGGTGCTTTTACAGTGACAAGAACAAAGGTATGGACGCACTGGCTATTATAAATACTATTCTTGTCTTGAGATTGACTCCTGGTTGACTATTGGTGTAATGGAGCAAGATATGTATGGGGGTTGATTGGAGCATAGAAACATAGAATGTGACGACAGATAAGAACCAGTCGGCCCATCTAGTCTGCCCAATTTTCTAAATACTTTTATCAGTCCCTGGCCTTATCTTATAGTTAGGATAGAAAGAAACGCGTTAGATCGTATTCATATTTTCTATATTTTATTTTAATGGGCAATTGTGCCTAAAATAAATCTACTTATTCAACACTTCTGAATTTTGAACCTGATTGTATCTGGAGCTACCTGAGCCTGCTAATTAGTCACCATCCTCTACGGTGGAAGCGGTCCAGCACAATCCCTTAGTGGATTTTAAGGCGCTTTACTCATTTAAATCCTGTGAGTGCAACCATTATTGCAGTGTCTTATTTACTTAACTGTACATCACCATGTTTTTTTTTTTATTCTTTATTTTTATCATGCTTTGAGTAAATAACATACAAGCTCGTGGTGCCCCAATAGTATTCCCCGAGCATAATTTTCAGGCATAACAGTTGGAGCATTGAAATTATCGGCACATTTTGAAATGTTAAAGTAATGTTGCTTAGATCAGAATGTTAGTAAGTACAAGTTACATTAGCATGGGTTATGATTACAAGAAGTTAATTAACATGTCTGACTTCATCATCCTATCCAGCTACTAAGTTGCTTGAGGTCTGTAGCTGGCTGTATAATTAGTGCAATTATATGATAAGCAGGCAAGTGTACAGATGTTTTTATACAGCAAGTATCTTAGTTGGGCTATTATTCATATATTTATTTTTGTTGGGCATTGCATTACACTGATGTATATCTGTCACTTTAGAAAAATAAACAGAGTGATATTGCACATATTACACATATACAGTGATTGCGATTATGTGTGCTGTTTATTTTTATATTGTAGCTTGTAGCTGTATCCCTATTTCCTGTGTTTTCATACATCTTATAGCTAGGATAGCCTTATGCCTAATAAATATTCTGGTAAAAGTTTTTACCTCATCTGGCCATGAGGAGTTGTTCAAAACTGAATTTCAAATGTGAGACCAAAATAGATGAACTGGAAGCATAGCTGACTTGGAGATTGTTTCTAAATCAGTCATTTTTGCCTACATTTGAAATTAACTTTGAATAACCCTCTGAATGTCACATCATTCGGGAGAAGATGAAAGAGTTTGAGATGGGTTGAGAGAGAGGGTGTTTGACAGAGAATGGGAGAAAAGATGTACTTTGGCTTGGACTGGGGGCAAGAACTGAGCCAGGACGTCTTTGTTCAGGAACTAGTTTGAATGGATTGAGGAAGTGACATTGACTGGGGAAAGGAAGTAAGCTGGCGAAGACTCGAGGTGGAAAAATATCGAGGCCTGGTCTTTTGCATGCAATGACTCATAAAGTTATTCACTAAATTGTATGAATTGTTTGAAATTCAAAGTGATTTTTTATTAAAATTTTAGGCTACAGTAGCCAAATTGGAAAATAAAAATCCTAGTTAACTGTGTTCAGTTTGGCTATTTTGGCATCAAATGGGAAATTTACTTTGAATTCACTTTGTGTTACCAAAAATTCACAATTTATTTAATAACCTTACCAGTGTAAGGAAACAATTTGACACAAGACAGTGGGCATGTAGCTAAATGGGTGTAAACATGAAGCGGTAACCAGCTTGGTATGAAGAGACTGGGAGCAGGCAACCAATTTGGCAGAGGATCCACTTTGGCATTGGGTGGGGAATTTGAAGCTGCTTGGATGGGCTGAGGGTACGGGATCAGTTTGACAGAGACAGAGCAAGGCATGACAAAGAAGAAGTATGACATTTACAGTCGACAGGTATAAATGCTTTACATGCTGGTTTGTGGAATCCTTGTGAAAGGTACCGTTATTCATCCCACAATGATAACGCATACTGGTTTTTGTTAGATGACACAAGACGTTGTGGGAGTGCGTATAGACACTTGGGATGCTCCACAACAAGAACTCTTTGGACAAAAACATTGTCTGATCAAATTTAGTACATTGCTATTTGCTAGTAGAGTATTTATCACGTTATTGATCAGTGAGAAAGTGGCTTGGATTGAATGGAATCGTTGTCCTATTGCCAGCCTTACATGTCCCTTTAAATGTCGTTCTTTTAGCGCGCTGTTCATGAGTGAGCTGGCATTTGATTTTGCAAACTCGAGGAATAAAAGCCAAAGGATTGGGAGGCACCATATTTCCTCATATATTTACTAAGGGAGTCCGTACACAGGAACTATTATCTCACTACTCCTCCGTGTTACTCAGTCATCATCTTGGACTGATGAAATCGCTTCCTTTGCTATTTCTTTTGGATAGCCTAGCCTAGATGCTTACTTACCCTAGTGTGCATTAAAATTTAACACTTCCAGGGCTATCTATAAAACTTTAAAATGTACTTAGAATCAGGAGTGGCAACAGAACTTTAAAGGAACATCATAGCGTTAGGAATACAAAACAGTGCTCAAAATGCTTCAGTTTTCCTGTCCCTTGTTATAGATGTTGTCTCCCCCATTTGTGCCATAAAAACAATGAAAATGGTCCATTTCAACATTCCAATGATCCTCATAGCGGAGCATTGGAGACCCGATGCAGATATATGGCAATCATTTTTTATTTTTTTTTGTGGTAATTTCTCCTAATATGCAACAAACTCACATGAATAAATGGAAAGTAATATTAAAAAAAATATCCCTCCACATGTATCCAATTATCATTACCATTATCACCACTTTCAAACAGAGAAGGTTATTTACTAAATTGAGAATTCTAAGTAAATTTCAAAATTTAGGCCACAATAGCAGAATTAAAACTCTTCTTCAAGTCAGTTCTGTTTTCAGTTTGACTATTTTGTTTTAAATTGTTTTTATTTTGCACGTTAAGTGGGATCAGACATAGATCATATGCGAAAAAATTGATGCACTGTTGCCTTCGCAGAGGCGCAATAAATCAGATAATACACATATAGTGCGTATGGTTGCCTGCGCAGAGGCATAAAGGGCTTCAAATATAGGCATCTTTAGATCAGTCGCGTTTAACCAGTGTCGGCATAGTGCACTGCACAGAAAAACTTAGTCTGGTTTGATTAATGGCAATTTACTTACACATAACTGTAATGCTTATAATAACAAGGTTTGTAAACTTATATTGCTTAAAATTAATGTTACTAGTAATACGGATGATCTGCATGTTTGCAGCTTACTTTTAGAAAATCAAATAAAATTTGCGGTCATGTGTTCAGCTTAGGTTTCCTTTGCCCTCCGGCCTGAGTGCTTAGTACATGTTGAGAGCATTATGGTGTTGGACAGCATATATCGGTGTCATGTAAAACATTGCCTGTGTAGGCTAAGCGAAGCAGCTAATTTGCATAACAATCATATGGCAGAGGCATGTACCGGGAAGCATAGTGTTGATCAGTTAAAACGGTCAATGCCTGGTAAGGCGAAGAAGTTACCGTGTGCGGGCCTATGTTGCGGTACTCATGATACGAATGGAGTTTGCAGCTATATGTTTAAACTTGGCAAAAACAAGAACATGCTGTTACGAGCTAGTGCTGTATAGGGAGCGCGTTAAAAAACGATTGAACCATTAACTGAGGGGTATATCTTCGTTATGCATTTTAGACCGTTGCACAGTTGTGTGGTCCAAGTTATTTCCGGTTACTTGTAGACATATGGTCATGCGGTCTGGTATTTAATGTTGTTGGCCTGCTGAGAAGGCTAGCGTGTTAGTGTGTGTTCTGTGTGCTGTGTGGTGTGTGGGTCTGTGTGTGAGCCTCAATCATATGGACCGTATTTGTCAGATAGTTTGGTTCAGATTCTGGTGTCTGGGTGTCTGTGAGTGTCTCATTTAGGATGTGTTCATGTGTGGGAGGGTCATGAATTTGGGAAAAGGGATGGGTTGAAGAACAGAACAGAATGAGGAGAAGAGGGATGTGGGAGGGGATTAGAAGAGAGAGTAGCATTAAGACGGGTGGGCATCTCCGCCGTCCCACCGATCTGTACCCCCATTCTCCGTCCCAGACCGACCAGCCCCGCCGTCATCACCTGTGGTCAACTCTCGCTGGTTCCCTGTCCGCTCCTCCCTAAGTTCTGGTGTAGTTAAGAGGGACACGAAGCCGTCTGAGGTGACATATTTCAGCCAGTAGAACCACCTCTTCGTGTATTTTTCTTTCGCCATCGCTGTGTTTGCCTTCAAGTCCTCGAAGTTCCTGATGTTCTCCACCTCCTCCACCCATCGTCCGAGCGGGGGGGTGCGTGGTTGCTTCCAAAAGATAGGGCAGTTTGACTATTTTGCCCTCAGATTGGAAATTTACTTCAAATGCCAGGCTTTTCTGCTTTTGTGAATAGCTTTGTTGATTTGCCACGCATAATCTCTGTGCTGCACATCCAACAGAGACCCTGATCTAATAGTGTAGGGTAAATTATACTCTGCATAAATTATATTTATTTTATCTAGTAAAATATAGTGATTCAAGTAAAAGGAACACTCCTTGACACCATAACAACTTAATTCCGATGAGGTCGTGATGGTGCCCAAACTGTACCTTTAAGGAGTGTTAGTAGACATTTATTCCTTCCTAAATTTTGTAAAATATTAGCCCCAGGGAAATTCATTTAATAAACAATGGACTGTACTCTCATACCTCCCAACTGTCTCTGATCAGGCAGGGTAGTCTTAATTTGTAAACTCTGTCCTGCCATCCCGGATTATTCATCTGGTATTCCTCTTCTTAGGAACATTAACTGAAATAAAAAAATATACAAAATGTGTGTGATAGTGGTCCTTAAAACACTTGAATAATATATATATAGGTGATAGCAGCTGTAACACTCAGTGGACAGCCCACGCTGTGATTCACATTAAATTCAACAAACCAAAACGAATTGTTTAGGTGATAAACCGAGAAAAACAATTAAAATGATTTAAGTGCTCAGATGTGATATATAACTTGCCCTGTTTTTCATGTGATCCATGTAAAAATTTAAGTCAATAAAATCAATCCAAGCCAGTGTTAATTTTGTCGACTAACAATTTAGTCAAATTTTAGTTGGCTAACATTTTTGAGATTTAGTCGACAAAAACTAAAACAATTCAGATGACTAAAATACGACTAAAACTAAAATGGCCTTTTAGTCAAAAGGCTATGACTAAAACTACATTGAAATCAGCCGCCAAAATGAACACTGATCCAAGCACACAAGTTAGAGCTCTTCAGACTGTGAAAGACGATAACGATATACTTACACGTGTGCTTCTTTGCAGCATGTACACTGAGCAATCACACTTTCAGGGTTATTCACATAAAGTGAGAATTGTTAGGATTTCACTAGCTGTGTTCAATGGGATCTTGGCACATTGAAATAAATGACATTAAATATGCAACCACAAGGTGTGAAACATTGAATGTGAAGTTTTATTACATTTGGTGGAGATCGTTCCACAGATCTTACTCAAATATTGTCAGAACTGTAAAGCAAACACATCATATAAACAGACATTTGACTTCTATGAGTTTGTGTGTCGTATACAGGACAGCACATACATTTTTTTTTACAATTTTATTCTAACTTTTACATGTTGGGATGTATTAGGATTGACTTTTTCACAATGTTTTCCTAGACATATATCACTTGTGCGCGATGTGTCGTGCTACATAAAATATTCTGTTCTGAAGTATACTGAATTAAAGTGTTATTTTGCAAGGAAGTCCCATGCCTCTGACCCCCTCTGCTAACAACTTAGATCTCATTCAGAGCTGCCACAGTATGTAGTTTTCTTCCTGCCCATCCAATAACTGTATGATGGGCTATGCAAGGGAAAGACAATTTTCGCCACTCCATGTGTTGTGGACCACATCTCCCATGATGCTTTGCTAGCATTATGGCTGTAAGAGCATTATGGGAGAAGTTGTCCACAACATCTGGAGTGCGAAAGGTTGCCCAACCATGCAAGTTTCCATATACTCCACTACTTACTGTGAAGGAGCCTGAACTGTTTTGATGTGATCACAGCTATAGCTCCATTCGCAGAACTGGATGAAGCTGTTGTGGATATGGATCTGCTGAACTACATATCCTATGAACCTCTGCTTTCCAGAGAAACATGGTAGATCTGGCAGCCATAGATGTATTGGATGTATCATGTGTAGATGTATCAGGGAAATATCTTAAAATAATAAAACTTACAGGATCAGAATCAGATCAAAGATGGGGCACTAAAGTAGCATTTAAATTAGGTATCTCAAACTCTGGCTCCCGAGATTTTGCAAAACTACAACTCCCATGATTCCCTGGATATCTGCTTAATTCAAGTATATTGTGGGTTTTGTAGACCATCAACATCCTCCCAGCCAGAGTTTGAAATCTGTGATTTAAGCCAAAACTGAATGTTCACGTTCACCTTCCTGAATACAAGATAAGATTTTTGGTTTTCATTTTATACTTTAATCACCATAACCTCTAAATTTATAAGCACCGTGACCTCCAAATCTCATTGGAGTATTTATGGTGCCTGGATTCACAGTTGCCATCCAAATAGTTGTTGTTAAATGACTTTTGAGTGGTTTAACCCTCAGTGAGGGTTCACAGCACCTGCATTCAGCCTATCACAAATTGGTGTGGCTAAGGCAAAGTGTAAATCTGTAGGCACCCAGAAGCATTTACTCGTACAAGCGAAGTTTGATGAGAAGTGAGATTAAGTGGTGATGGTGCCTAGAATGTGCTTACACCATGCAAACACAGACAGAGAGAGATATCCTTGTTTGACATTAATGGAGATTTATCAAAGTGTTGTGTTCTGAAAAGTAGTTTAAAGATGTAAAATGGGAGAAGTCACCAATAGAAAGTGTCCACGTTTTTCAGTGATTTCCACGGCCCCACTTTTTGTACTTTGCAAACATTTTAAAGAACATGACTCTATAGTAAATCACCCCCACTATGTTCAGTATAATCTTACCCAGGTAAGATAACAATGTGCTTTCATCTCTTCCAGCTCTGACTGAAAAAGACTCCTCTGGTGAGGCCAGAAAAGGATCCCATATTGTGGGCTTGCCAGCAATTACCTCGGTCTCAATAAAGAGACAAGTGGGATGTACAGAAGATTACTTGCTTTCCAAACTGCCATCTGATGGACGAGATGTGCCATTTGTCGTTCCAACATTTAAGCCATCCTATATACAACCCCGAACCCTTACAAGCCCATCTCACCAGGACGGAATTAAAGGTATTGCTTAATTCATGTAAGAGTGCATAAGTGTACACTGACCAGCCACAACATTAAATCCACTGACAGGTGAAGTGAATAACATTGATTATATCATTACAATGGCACCTTTCAAGGGGTGGGAAATATGAGACATCACGTGTACAGTTAGCTCTTGAATTCCATGTGTTGGAAACAGGAAAAATGGGCAAGTGAAAAGATCTGAGTAACTTTTTTAAATGCCAAAAAGTGATGGCTAGAAAACTCGGTTAGAGCTAGATGAGTGCCCAAGACTCTTTGATGCATGCAGGGAGTTAAGGCTAGCCCATCTGATCCGATCAACCCGAAGAACTTCTGTCGTTTAAATTGCTGAGAAATGTAATGCTGGCTATGGTAGAAAGGTGTCCGAACACACAGTGCATCACACTTTGCTGCGTAGACGCAGACATGTCAGAGTGCCCATGATGTCCACAGTCCACAGCCGAAGTGCCTCCAATGAGGACGTGAGCATTAGAACTGGACCATGGAGCAATAGAAGAAAGTTACCTGGTCTGATGAATCAGGTTTTCTTTTAGATCAGGCAGATGGCCAGGTGTGTGTGTGCGTGCGCGTCATTTTCCTGGGGAAGAGATGGCAGCAGGATGCACTATGGGATGAAGGCAGGCCGGCGGAGGCAGTGTTATACTCTGGGCAATGTTCTTCTGGGAAACCTTGGGTCTTGGCATTCATGTGGATGTTACTTTGACACATAACACATACCTAGAGATTGCTGAAGAACCCGTACATCTCTTCATGGCAATTGTGTTCCCTTATGGCAATGACCTCTTTCAGCAGGATAATGTACCCTGCCACACTGCAAAAAATTGTACAGGAATGGTTTGAGGAACATGACAAAGAGCTTAAGATGTTGCCTTGGCCTCTAAATTCCCTAAATCTAAATCAGATTGAACATCTTTGGGATATACAGGAACAACCAATCTGATTCATGGAGTCCCCACCTCACAACTTGAAGGACATAAAGGACCGACTGCTAATGCCTTGGTGCCAGATACCACAGGTCAAGGTCAAAACTCTTGTTGAGTCCATGCTTTGACCCATCAGAGCTGTCTTCGGACCTAAACAAAGAATTTGAGAACTCCGAGAACGGACAAAAGCTTAGAGAAACTCAGTAGCTTGCCCTGCGGTAAATCCTCGCTCAGGTCTCAAAATATTTTTGGCTCACTTGTCCCGTTACAGAGAGAACATATCTGAAGCATATCAGACTAATTCTACCTGTAAAAGCAGTCCTGAATAGAAATGCCAGCAAGTTCTCTCTGTCTTCGAACCTACACAATAGTAGGCAGGCGGTTTTAATGTTGTGGCTGATTACTACATATATACCTATATGTGGGTATGTTTGTGTACATGTATAGTGTTAAATAATTGACATTTATTTATCTTTTCCTATTGAGGATCTGCCAGAGCCACCTTTACTGATAGAAAAGCAGAGCTTTCCAACTTCTATCAACAAGGACCCAACTTAGATGTAATTTACAACCCCAGCTATATCCCACCGCATATTTCTCCTGATCTGAACCGGCGAACCAAGCTGCATGCAGACCCTGTTAGACTATACGGATCAGGTGAGACTTTACGGGAGGGATGGGCATGGGGCTCTGTTACACCATGTAGATCAGGTGAGACCTGTATGAGATGGGCATGGGGCTCTGTTACACCATGTAGATCAGGTGAGACCTGTATGAGATGGGCATGGGACTCTGTTATACCATGTAGATTAGGTGAGACCTGTATGAGAAGGGCATTGTGGGTACCTGCCTACAGATGCTGGGCAAGTGGTACAGGTGTACTGTTTCTCGGCAAGAGGCATCTGTCTTCACGTTAAACTTAAAATCAATTATTTTTCAATAATGATAAAATGTGTTAAAATGTTGAATTTATAAAGATGATGGTGCAATATATACTTACAAAATGTATGCAGAAAACTATTAAGACAAGAAAGAATTTACATATTTTTTCTTTTTTAGTTAAAAAACATATATTTGTTCCTTAAAATACATAATAGTAATTAATTTAACATCATATCGATTGTCCCAGAATATCCCCATGTCCCTTTAAATTAAAATACAATGCAGAAGTCTGGCTGTCTCTGGGTGTAAGCTACATCTATGAGCAGACGATGAACAATTTTATATCCTTTGTTCCTGATGCTTTCTCAATCCTTGCAGCGGTCAGTGTTAATAACCAGGAACAAGTCATGTGTTACTAGTGATGACTGTCCCACTAATCGCACACATATTTATATATCCTACAAAATATTTATCAGTTATTTAAAGTTGCATTGTCACTGGAAATTCTATACGCATCATCTTAGAGCACGTCTAAGGAAAACATTTTTTTTCCAATAAAAGATTTCTTGATAATCTAGGGCAGTGGTTCCCAACCCAGTCCTCAAGTACCCATTACCAGTCCAGGATCACCCAGTTGTTTCTAAGGTGTTTTTAGAACTGAAGTTTCCTGTTCAGTGAGAAGATGGGAGCTAATTTGAAAATCACAGACTCTGATTGGCTGCTGAAATCACATGCTCTCTTATTTTGGTATCAGTTTCAATTGTATGTTGCATTTGCACTGAATAACTGTTAGGTATTCAAAGAAAAGTACAGATAACCTCCTAAGCGGAAGCCTAGGGAGGCTATGTATTTTAATATTTTTCTGACTTGTTTTCGTAAGAAAACAATTAAAATTGTCAGAAAAGGGGGACGGACCTAACTTCCTAGATGACGCATCGATTGGATGTTCTGAGTTGAATGCGTATTAATCACACTTTTATCAAATTATTTACAGCATACATTTATCTGCACTGATTGCAGTTACTTTACTTTACACTTGTGGGGCTCCTTCATATATGTAATTTTGACTCTGCTACGACCACGTTTTGGTGAATATGGATTGTGGTAGGTCAACGTGGGTGACAGGAAGGTGGCTGATCCCTCTGCCCTTGGAATCACACATATCTACAGAATCTACTTGAGTCTTCTATATAGCCCCCCGTCGGTGTGGGTTATCTCACCTACCACTATTGTTGTTGTGCCCAGTTGTACACTACATAACGCAAGCCATGGGAGCGGCATTTCCTTTAAAATGGTGGACACCACATACTTACTTGACTCTAGAGGCCAGCAGTCTCCCATCCTGAATAGACTGGATCAGTTATTTGCAGCTTTCTGGGCCAGGATCCACTATTGAATGCCACCTGTGCACCAAAAAAGAAGATACCTACCTTTCCTGCAAATTCTGTACTGGTTCTTTCAGTGTACAGGGAGGCCCATCCACATGAGCAAGCTGGGGCCTATGGCTACATGACCTGAGAGGCCATGGAAATCTTTGCCCCTTTTGTGCTCTACTTATGCTGAGAGCTGGAATGTAGCATCTTCCCAGCCACATTGGGACAAAGCTGTAGGGAGCTGAGCAGCAAACCACTGGACACCAGGGATAATGCGCCAAATATAAATCAAGTGTGTGTGTGAGTCTATGAATGTGAGTATGTGGTATGTGCATGTGTGTACGAGTCTGCATGTATGAATGTGTGTGTGTATGAATGGGAGTGTTTGTGAGTGAATGAGTGAGTGAATGTATGAATGTTGGTGTGTGTGTGCGTGCGTGTGTGTGAAGAATTAAAGCATGTATGCATATACATGTTAGTGTGTGTGAATGTGAGCATGTATCTGTATGAATGTTTGTGTATCAATGTATACTGAACAAAATTATAAATGCAAGACTTGTTTTTTCCCCCATTTTTCATAAGCTGAACTCAAAGATCTAAGACTTTTTCTAAACCTGTCTTAGTGAGCACTTCTCATTTGTCGAGATAATCTATCCACCTCACAGGTGTGGCATAGCAAGATGCTGATTAAATAGCATGATTACTGCACAGGTGTACCTTAGGCTGGTCACAATAAGAAGCCACTCTAGAACGTGCAGTTTTACTGTATTGGGAGGGTCCAGGGGGGTCCAAAAACCAGTCAGTATCTCGCGTGACCACCTTTTGCCTCACGCAGTGCAACACATCTCCTTCGCATAGAGTTGATCAGATTGCTGATTGTGGTCTGTGGAATGTCGGTCCACTCCTCTTTAATGGCTGTGCAAAGTTGCTGGATATTGGCAGGACTTGGAACACGCTGTCGTATACGCCGATCCAGAGCATCCCAAACATGCTCAATGGGTGACATATCCGGTGCGTATGCTGGCCATGCAAGAACTGGGATGTTTTCAGGTCCCAGGAATTGTGTACAGACCCTTGCAACATGGGGATGTGCATTATCATGCTGCAACATGAGGTGATGGTCGTGGATGAATGGCACAACTATGGACCTCAGGATCTCATCACGGTATATCTGTGCATTCAAAATGCCATCAGTAAAATGCACCTGTGTTCGTTGTCCATAACATACGCCTGATCATACCATAACCCCACCGCCACCATGGGCCACTCGATCGACAATGTTGACATCAGCAATTGCTTACTCACACAACGCCATACATGCTGTCTGCCATTTGCCCTGTACAGTGAAAAACTGGATTTATCCTTGAAGAGAACACCTCTCCAAAGTGCCAGACGCCATCGAATGTGAGCATTTGCCCACTCAAGTCAGTTACGCGGAAGAACTGCAGTCATGGCGAGACCCTGATGAGGACGACGAGCATGCAGATGAGCTTCCCTGAGACGACTTCTGACAGTTTGTGCAGAAATTCTTTGGTTATGCAAACCGATTGTTGCAGAAGCTGTCCGGGTGGTTGGTCTCAGACGATCTTGGAGGTGAAGATGCTGGATGTGGAGGTCCTGGGCTGGTGTGGTTACAAGTGGTCTGTGATTGTGAGGCCGGTTAGATGTTCTCTGAAACGCCTTTGGAGATGGAGAGAAATGAACATTCAATTCACGGGCAACAGCTCTGGTGGATATTCCTGCAGTCAGCATGCCAATTGCACTTTCCCTCAAAACGTGCGACATCTGCGGCATTGTGCTGTGTGATAATACTGCACATTTTAGAGTGGCCTTTTATTGTGGCCAGCCTAAGGCACACCTGTGCAATAATCATGCTGTCTAATCAGCATCATGATATGCCACACCTGTGAGGTGGATGGATTATTTCGGCAAAGTAGAAGTGCTCACTAATACAGATTTAGACAGATTTGTGAACAATATTTGAGATCTTTGAGTTCTGCTTATGAAAAATGGAGGCAAAAACAAAAGTGTTGCGTTTATAATTTTGTTCAGTGTATGTGTGTGTACATAAATGTGAGTGCATGTGTTTGTAATTTCCCTAACAAAAGGGTATTATGAGCATTTCAGAGAAGCAAATAATAAAATAAAATTATACAGTGTGTGTGTTTGGGGAGGGATGCCTTTATACATTAATTCCCTGGTACCAGATAACTTAGGTACTCCCAGAGGCATAACTAGAATCCACCGGGCCCCGGTGCGGAAATTTCCCTGGGGCCCCTCCTCCTTGATGTCTCATTCACTCATTCCCACCCCCCTATTTGTCTAATTCCCTCGACCCCAAAGTCCATTCCCTCCCCCATCCCCTTCATGTGTCCCATTCCCTCCTTCCCCCATCCCCTTCATGTGTCCCATTCCCTCCTCCCTCCCAGCCCCTCCATGTGTCCCATTCCCTCTGCCCTCAGCCCATCTATGTTTCCCATTCTCTCCTCCCTCCCAGCCCCCTCCAGGTGTCCAATATCTCCTACCTCCCCACCAGGTGTCGCATTCCTACCTCTATCCCCCTCATGTGTGCCATTCCTACCTCTCTCTCTCCCCCCCTCCCCTCCATATGTCCCATTGTTACCTCTCTCCCCCCTCTCTGTGTCCCATTGTTACCTCTCTCTCCCCTCCATGGGCGTCATTCCTACCTCTCTCTCTCCCTTCCAGGACCAGCATTTCCCGGCCTGCTGCGGTTCCCGGTTTGACAGAAAGTGCTCTGTCAGTGAGCACTTCCTGTCAGACTACTCGGCCACGCTACACACAGGCAGGAGGGGAGCTCTCCCCTCCTGTCAACATCAGGAACCGCAGACCCGGGCCCGTGCAGCTGTGCACTGGCCCATAAGTTATCCAGGCAGCCCACAGTCGCAGCGGTCGTGGCTGCAGCTGGACCCTGTGGAGTGAGGGGCCCGGTTGCAGCTGCAACCCTGGTAGGAACACCACTGGGTACTCCTCTGATGAGGCCCTACTTGGCTAAATTAGGCTTTTTTTTTTTAGATGTTAATTTGCTATGATTCTGGATTTTGTGAATAACCTGTTTAAAGGGGCGCTCTATGAGGAAGCACTGGATTGGATGAGATCCTTAGTCTTGATAATCGCAGCCAGGGAGACTGGGTGGCAGCAGGGAGACAGGTGTGACACGTGCTGATACTAATTTTTACTACTTAGGGGATGCACAGGGGATGTTTGTATTCATAATGCTATAACGTTCCTTTAATCCAGTGTTCGTCTGAACGCAACAGATAAACACCTTTGCATTTAAATATGTAATACATTGTATTTGAACGGAATACTGGGAGTGGCCGCCTCTGTTATTACAGCTGTAATAATCACCTCTCCTATTTCTGTCTGTGGAAGCCCTGAAGCCACTGGGTTTGGCAATTGTCATTCAGGGTTGAGTGATGTGAAAGTAGATTCACTGACAGCGAGGCAGGCTTGGTAATTTGCATATCCCCCTGTGTATCCTGGCAACTACTCCCATAACGCTAAGACGCATCTAGCCTGGCAGATAATTATGGGAGTTGAATTCCACATGGCAACTGGGGAGTGCAGTCTGACAGTCTGCAGTATGAGTCCAGTATGAGACAGTCTGCAGTATGAGTCCTCTTAGGATGGAGTTACCTGGCTTGCAACATGATAGTCAATATGAATGGTATTACAACAGGGCAGCACTTTTCCTGTGCTTCTCATTTTCAGGTAAATGAGAAATATGAACAGGTGTTTTTGCCAGCTATATATAAACAATATGATAAAATTAGGCTCTAAAAAACATGTGATTGTGTTGCCAATTAAGGTTAATGAATTACTTACTAAATAACTCTTTACAATTTCGGGACAACTTAGTAAGACCTAACTAGCAGAGTTAGAAAAAAACTACTTGGCTAGTTCAGTTTACATTGTTTCAAGTTGGTTCAAGGTCCTATAACTTGCTACATAGTGAATAAACTTAATAGAATGTCTGTATCAGTTTGCCAATTTCAAATATAAGGGCTAATATTAATCTGTGTCTTTTTTCAGTCTGCGATTTGAGGAACATCAAACCATCTGATTCCCAGGCCCTAAGCGGCTCGCTCTATGATCTGACTAGCTCATCCAAGTACATGCAGGTATGATAATGTGTGTAATACATGGTCTGATTATATTGTGAGAACAGATCTATTGTTACCCAATACTCTGTACCTTCTCCAGGAAACCAGAGGAATGAAGGGAAATGAAACTCTAATTGCGCAAATGTGTACAGTGTAACACTTTAAAAGCACTTTCAAGAAGAAGAATTGCAAGAGTTTATTTAAATAAATTGCACAAGGGAAATTCTTTTCTCAGTACAAATAAAATAAAAATTCCCAGTTAATTTTTTCCTCCTCATTTTTCTGTTTGTCTGTTATAAGGCACAGCTCAGTAGAAATGATCATTTAATACCTTAACTTCCAGGGGTTTTCCCACAAAGCCGTGAATTATAGTGAATGAACAACCAAATTGCAAAATTCTCCTAATCAGCTATTTTGATCTAATTTTTTTGATCTTTGATTTTGGGTTTCATTAGTCATTGCACAATATATCTAGCAAGATTTCTATCATTGCACCAAATGAGAAAATAGGCTCAGATTCAGGTAAATTCTTTGGAATGCCATTTTAGTGAGACACTTAATATATTACTTGTTCCTCAGTCATCTAAAGGGTTGTCACGTGTTTTGAAGATTGGTAATTGAAAGTGCATATTGTGAAAGAACTAGGAAAAAATGTGAAGTGTATACTTAGTCCTTGGCAGTCCTTCTCAGTGGTTGTTTGGCCAGACAAAGCTCTGATTTTTCTTTCCCGACCCCGATAGGCTCCCTCTCTAAGACTGGTCACTTATTAACTCAAGATGTGGCATGTTTGAATAATGGCATAACCAGGGACGGACTGACAGTGGCCTGGGCCCCTGGGCAAAATTAGCACCTGGGCCCCCAGCAGACCGATATATATGCTGGTATAGGTGTACCGTATATTTGATTGTATGTACATGTAAAGTGAATGCATGTTTCTGTGTGTATATTCACTGTGAGCGCTAGTGTAAGTGAATATATGTATGTCTTTGTGTGTAGTGTCAGGATATGTGGATTATTAGTATATTTGAATACATGTTTTTGGTTTTGTGAATAGGGTAGTATTTTTTGTGTGTGTTTGTGTAGCATGGCAGTATGTAAAAGGGAGTATTTGTGAAACCAAGTGTTAAATGTTACGAGCCACCTTAAAGGGACTCTCCAGTGCCAGGAAAACAATCCGTTTTCCTGGCACTGCAGGTCCCCTCTCCCTCCCACCTTCCATCCCCGGTTGCTGAAGGGGTGAAAACCCCTTCAGTGACTTACCAGAGGCAGCGAGATGTCCCACGTCGCTGCTTCTTCCTCCGCTCATGCTCCTCCCCTTCAAAACGTCAGCCGTCGGGGGAGACCTAATACGCATGCGCGGCAATGCCGCGCAGGCGCATTAGACCTCTGCATAGGAAAGCATTGAAAATGCTTTTCAATGCTTTCCTATGGGAATTTTAGCGACGCAGTGGGAGCAGGGGGGTGGGGGCTGCAGGCGGGGAGTGGGGTGCAGTGGGAGCAGGGGATGCAGGGGGCAGGGGATGCAGTGGGAGGGGGTAGGGGATGCAGTGGGAGGGGATGCACTGGGAGCAGGGGGGGTAGGGGATGCAGTGGGAGGGGGCTAGGGGATGCAGTGGGAGCAAGGGGGGTAGGGGATGCAGTGGGATCAGGGAGGTAGGGGATGCACTGGGAGTAAGGGGGGTATGGGCTCTGATGGGGCAGTAGTGGGGGAAATTATATAATAAAACATTTTAATTTAAAAAAAAATAAATAAAGCCCCCCTCCCAAACCTTACCTCTCTGGTGGTCCTCTTCTGAAGGAGGGCACACAATGCTGACATGCTGCCTGTTAGTCTGCTCAGGGCAGCTCCTCACTCTGCACTGTGACTGTTGATGTCACTTCCTGCAGAACAAGCTGCACGGAGCTGCCCTGAGCAGTTACAGGCAGCTCAGTGAGGCTGTGTTCAGTGAGACAGGCACACTGAGGGCAGCCTAGTGGGGTCTTTGGAAGGCCCCTTAGCTGTCCCTCAGTGTGCCCTGCACGGGGGATTATATTTTTAGCAGCAGGGGCCCGCGGAAGGCTGCTCGGGCCCCTTACTGAGTGCAGGCTGGCTGGGGAGATTGTTTTACTCCCCAGCTCAGCCATTACTGCACTGCAGCAGGGGCGGGCCCCCCAGAGCCTCGGGCCCTCGGTCCATGACCGATTTGCCCGAGTGCTCAGTCCGCCCCTGGGCATAACTGAGGTCCATGCAAATTTCTTTACTCTAAAGTTGTCTAACTTTGGCTTTTCATTTGTATGACTACAATGCCTAGCATTCTTGACCAGCTGTTGGCTTGCAAAGAATTCTGTGAACCGAAGGCCCAACAGCTGTTGGTGGGAAAATTTTGGACAGCTTTAATCTAGTTGCACTCATTTCAATATTTGTTCAAAAGACTTTTAAATCAGGGTTCAATTAATCGGTAGTTTACTTAGAACTATACCTCATGTCAAAAAATGTCTCCTGCACTTTTTTTTTTAATCAATCTTTATTTATAGTGAAAGAAAAATACAAATAGTGGAAACAACATGCACTGAAGTACTAAGGAATAAAATATCATACAGTGCACACAGTACATCAGATATGTAAAGCCTGCAGCATTTTAAACCGGAGAACTATAGAGTCAGTCTAGATATTTAAACAAATCGAATTCCCAACCGAAGACCTACAGCGATACATGACTTAAAGATAAATATATTCAAATTGTCCCCAGTATTCTCACATTTTCTGTATTGACTTATACACTCAAAATGTGGGTACAAGCTATAAACGTTTATTTTTATTAAAAACAACTGCTTGCTACCCAACTTGATAATCCGCTCTGTACCTGGGAATGGAAATAAATCCTATGTTGGGATAAAGTACTTGGAAATTAGATCAGTGGCATCCTTCTTCTCAGAATTGAAATGTTCTCCCATTTGATACTTGAATGAATGTATTGTGCTAAGATCAACCTGACTGCCATTTACACTTAAACTCAGACACAATGCTGATAGATATTAAAAAAAAAATATCACAGCAATCCCTGTATAAGGCAGACAGAGAATTATTTTCTGTATGTGTAACATGCTGATCTTGTAGGCTACAACTCTCAAGAGTCTCAAGTAACCTTGAGAAATAAGATGTGTTACTGTCTAGCCATACTAATTCTATATTAAATAATAATGAGTTCCCTAATAGACCCCAAATCTCCAGCAGAAGGCAGGTCTAAGTAAGAAATTCTGTTGGACACGTTTCTTGGTTTTCATGCTCTGCTCCAGAGGGGGACTGGAATTGATTAACCTTTTCATTAAAAAATGTTTTTATTCTACTGCATGTTTCAATTTCTTTTTTAAAATTTCTTCCCCCCCCCCTGTATTTATATACTATATTTATATATTGTATTTTTTTCTAGTACTAAATCAATGGAGAGATAATTCTCACAATGGTTATAGATTTCACATCCCTGACTCCTTTATATATCACTAATGATTAATTGAAGTCATGTAACCATTTTGCAGAGATACGATTCTGTTTCCAGTGTCCGTAGCAGTAATTCCTCCAGAAAAGATTCCCAAGGCAGCAATCGAAGTCTCGGTAAGTATTTTAGTGCTGATTCGTCTTTTCTGAATTTTTTAAATTATCTGAATTTGGTTGTAAAGCAAAGAGAAAGATTAGAATTTTATTTTTTAGTTCCATTGTCTTTACTCAAATAAACTTTTTTGTTCAGGAAATATTTTTTGGTACTTTTAGGCCTGGGGAATATCTTGGTACATGTGTATATTTTATGTTTTGTATTCATTGTTTTTTAGACAAGTTTAACTTTTCTAGGCCAAATGTAACATCAAGCAGCAACATTTAAAAAGTGCAAGATTGAAAGTTTTTAAAGTCTGTAGCACTAAGCCTGGTGTGGTTAATCTATATTGTAGAATTACTGTGAAGGTTAATGAGAAGTTTCAGTAAAATTTGAAGCCATTTTGTCCCAGATAGCTTTAGAATATGTGATCACAGGGAATCTAGGAGAAAGGACATGGCATTAATCTTGAGGAATCCATATGACAAATTGTGCATTCACGCCAATATGACCTGTCAATTCTTCGGGCAGACCTTCGCCTCTTCTAGGTGGGTTTAGCCCCTTTGAGTGGCGCTAGAGACACATATGTTCCTTTCTACCCTGCCCATCAGCGTCCTGCTTTACAAAATGCCAAAGGTGGGAGGTATAGGATACTCTTGGTACACACTAGGCTCGAGCACAATTTCAGTGCATTCAATAAGCTTAGGTTTCATATTTGTGCAATTTTTGTCCATGTCCAAATCTCTTTAATTTTTCTAAAAAAAGAAAAAAGATTTGGAACATTCTGCAGTGTAACTCATCCTCCTTAGCACCATGTCCCATACCCCTTCTTCATATCTCATCTGGGTTTGTACTCTGCTAAGCCAATGAAAGCGCAGTATGAGCGGAGTTGCTGAAATTCATCTGCTCCCAACCAATCACTGTCCTCTTATTATTAACATCCTCCTTTACGCTTAGGACAGCTTTGATATGCTAAACTGATTAGACAACCGTGATTGGCTGTGGGGTGTAGTCATATCAGCAGCTCAGATACACTAATCTTTCACTGGCTGAGTTGCGCTGTTTACCTTCCAATCAATGTGATTAAAGGATGGGGTTATGATGCAGAGAGCTGCAAAATATTTTTCCTTTTTTTTTCTTCCTAAAACTAAAGAGATTTGAAGAGGGAAGAAAACACAGTGAAATGCACTTAAGTTGCTTGCTGTTCAGACTGTTCCTTTAACGCCATGAATATCAAGATGTCACCAAATGACATGTTAAAGAGGAGTTTAAAGTACTATTCTGCATTACATTTATTAAAGCACTCTGAATTAAGTAGTTATGGTGCTTGTTGATCCTGGGCGCTGTCTCACCGTAATTAGTTAAACCTTTTACGAACAGTTAAACTCAATGTGCTCTTAATGGCATTGTTCTATTGGGCAATATGTCTCCTCCTTCTCCAGTTTCAATGGTTTTCCATGGGTGCCAGCAAAATGCGGAAAGCAGAGAGGCCAGGAAGACAGAAGCTGTTTAGAGCAATTTGGGGTCAAGCTGGTTGTAAATGGTTTAACCCAGAGGTGTAACTAGAAACCACTGGGCCACAGTGCAAAAATTGCCCTCCTTTCCCCCCCAGCCCCTCCATGTGTCTCCTTTCATCTTCTGTAACCCCTCAATGTGTCTCCTGTCCTCTCCCTCTAGCCTCACCATGTATCTCCTTTCCTCCCCCAGCCCCTCAATGTGTCTCCTGTCCTCTCCCTCTAGCCTCTCCATGTATCTCCTTTCCGCCCCACCATTTTCCATGTGTCTCCCCCAAATCATCTCACCTCCATGTAGTGTGGCTGACTGGACTGCGGTACCCAGCCTGACAGGAAGTGCTTGTTGCTCTCAGTGAGAATTTCCTGTGAGACCGTGGTCTGCTTGGCCACACTACATACAGTGACCTGCAGAAGTGGAGCGTGCTGTGTGCCCCCTCCTGACGGTCATCTGGCAACCACGTGTTTCAGGCCAGTGTGGCTTTGCAACGGCCCTGGAGTTATGCCGGTCATGGGGATCGACAGGATGGCCAGGCCCCCTGGAGTGACGGGCCCAGTCGCAGCTGCAACCCCTGCAACTGCCACTTGTTTAACCCTATAAAGAAAGATGGCGCAAAGGACCTACGGGCACCATAATTAGTTAATTGAGAGAAGTTGTTATGGTGCCCAGAGTGGTGCTTTATTTTTCTATATTATTGTAAATACATTTTAAGCATATACTTTAATTTGATAATACATGGAAGATGATTAACTTAGCAGTAATATAGTTAAGCTGTAATTACAAAAGACTGTCATATTTATTAAAATGTTATTTTTGGGGGAAAACCTCAAAGTTCTAATTTAGAACTTCAAGCAGCCAATAGAAAAAAGCAAAGCAGAGCTTTCATCTAGCATTGGCTGAGTACAGTCCTCTCCAAGGTCCTCTCCTTATGCAGTTTCCCTTGTGGTTTACAGAGAATTATGGGAAATATAGTGCACTTACAACTGGAGGTCCATAGTTGGACACCCCTTCTCCACAGCATGGCTAGTGTTTGTAAACATTTCTCCACTAGGAAACTTCTTTCTAAATAGTTTCTATAAAAAGACTTTTGTTTGTTTCAGATACAATTACATTATCTGGGGACGAGAAGGAGTTTGGGAAGCTGAATTTCAAACTGCGATATGTTACGGCCATGGAACAGATATGGATCACAGTATTACAGGTGAGGACACAAACGTCTCATTATCCCAGTAACTGCTGAGATGCCAGCTCAGCACAGTCTCCAATTACACCTTAATGCGGGCTTAATCCTGTGTTCACTAACACCAGTGGAACAAGCATCTGAACTCACCATGCACCACCGGGTTAACCCTCTCACTGCCAAAGGAGCTTGGAAAGTGTCTGCAATTTTCTGTAATTGAAACAGGATGTGCTCTAATCTGGGATAGAGAATACCGTGGGTCCCACGAAAGAAGCTAAACACAGAAACAGATAAAAAATATCAGTAAATGCACCATTTGTGTTTTCTTGTAAGAGAATACTTTGTGAGGAATGAACTGAGAGTGGATTTAGGAAATTAAAACCAGAAGCCAAATTACAGTAAATACATTAAGTTTTGGAGTAAGAGGATGTTCCCCAGCATTGATGGTTCTAGCCATCATGTACAGCCATCTGACCGTGAACGCTGTTTTATTCATTTCATTTTGTGGAATTATTTTGTTTGTTTTTTTTAAGTTTGTGTTGGGCAGAATTTGATATATGAGTATCAACTGACTATGTCAGACACACTGAGTATGAAAACATTTTAACAGGGAAAGGCTTGGAAAATAAATCTACCATGTCTACCTACTTATATTTGGAGGCATTGTGGGGTAGGTATTTAAAAGTTTCTTAGTGTGAACTTAGTTTCAGGATGCCCTGCATTTAACTCTCAGATTTTGGATGGGTACGGGCATTGTTGGTGCCAAGGTGTGACTTTTTGGAACTTTTACCTTATCTGAGTTCAAGGTAGATATGTTTATGATTTCACTTATCCCAGGGTGTAAAAGTTTGGGAGGAGGAAGTGCTGACCGGTCTGTAGGAAAAGCATATGAGAACTGCTTCTTGCTATAACCCTCGCCAACTTTAACAGACTCCTCCTATCTCTAACAGGATATTTTTTTTATTCACTTATCGACCCAATTTAATAGTTACATTTGGTCGTTTTCCTACCTCTGTGTGTATCTCTATACCTACAAATGTTGAAATTTGCATTCTATTTACATGTGATTCATGCCTCTGTACCACGTTATACTACTTTGTTAACCTTATAACTTGTTAAATCTTCAATAAAGATCAATGATCACAATAACTCTATTGTTTCCCTTAAAACCAGTGGATAGATCTTGACAAAATAATACATATAAATTCACATGTTACTGAGTGCCATGGTGCTCTGTATAGGATGCTTCAGTGGTACATTCCCTGTTATAGCATTTAGACAAATGGTGCTTGCATCAAATGGTCACAGTATCCCAAATGATATCATCTACAAACCCAGAAAATCCTATTATGCAGCCCATATAAATGACCACAATAGAAAGCAAATGGATTGAGTTACAATAAGCTAGACAGGTTGGGTGGAATAATCTTTACCTGCAATATGGATGGGGGGAAGGGACTCCATTAAAATAATGGTCGATGAGACAATCCGAGTGGACAGAAATAGCACAAGGAAGTAAAAACAATATAAAATGCCATTATTGTTTTCCTTGATTTACAATGCTTTATCAAAGGGCCACCTTTCACATTTAGATACTTAATTTTCTTTATTATTGGATTCTCATCTGTTCGACGGATTGCACAATTAATATTGCTTTTATAACTTGGAAATGTGATAAAGTTGGAATCCACCCAAGTACTTTGCAGTTGTTACACAAAGTTTTTGATATAAATGACCATCGGTGTTCAGACATAGCAGAAATGTAAATACAATAAGTGCCTAGCTTTTTAATTACAGCTTTATATTTAGCCCATTTCATGCCCTGGGTGTTTGGCAGTTTATACTGCTGCCTACTTAAAGGGTTTCTCTAATCACCATGATTTGAAGTGGTCATGTTGCCTGGAGTCTGTATGTGCAGCATTTCAAAGCAAAACGCTGCGCATATAGATCTCAGGCACTGTGACCACTTCAAATCACTGAAGAGATCATGGAGATAAACCATGTTACTACACCTCCATGCCTCTCTGCACCCCCCCTCGTCTTTTCTCCCACATCTCCCTCTTCATCCTGCAAGGGGAAGTGAGGTCAGACAAGGAGGAATGGGCCGAGGTGAGAACTTGGACATGGTGATGGAACACTGGTACATTCTAGAGTTTTGTTTCTTTTTTTATTGTTTGGGGGGTGGGGGGGTGGACCACCTCAGAAAGGTTTACTCTGATTTTACTTACAAATGTTTTCTTTAGAGTAACCCATTAAGTCATTTAGTCACAGAAGTCATTAGCTGGCTATACCGCTCTCTGGCTAACTGTTTTGGCGCCAGAGGTGCCTTTTAGGTTAAACTGCTCCATATTTAATTTGATGCCAAAGATATTTCATTTGACCTTTTAAAAGATCCCAAAATTAGTATAGGACATGATGGAAAACTATACGTGAGAAATCCGCCTTTTCATTTCTCTTAAAGTAATTATTATAAGAAGATAAAAACATACCGGATGAAAGAAAATTATGGGTTTTTGTTGAACTGAAATCTGAAATCTTGCTGTTGTTAATGTTGTTGTTTTTTCCTATATCAGTTGAAAGATTTGAGCTGGCCCCTAAGCTGTGGAGAAAATCCTAATATCTGTATTAAAGGGATCATTACGTTACCCAAAGCGGTGCACTTTAAATCCTCCTCTAAGGAGGGAGCTCTGGTAAGTCATGTAATTTTACTGAGATGTAATTGAGATAAACATGTCTTTATGTGTGTCTCTTCATCTGTGGGAAAACAGTTTGTGTAAACATGGGTTAGAGAACTCTCATCCTCCCAATATTATCAAACTCCAGCCCCTATCACCCTCAGTGTGGTTAATTTTAACATTTTCTGTCCAACCACAATCCTTACATCTTAACGTACAGCAAAGTGGTCCCAGCACTTTCTGTATGAACATCAAGACTGAATGCCTGCATGTTTTTTGGTACCTAAGAAAGAAACACAATCAGTTAATTTTATTTATATTAAAAAAAATAATTAATAATCAAATATTAGACTTCACTTGTATGCTTGCTTTCTTAATCTGTTATGCTGGTTTACCATGTTTAAGTAACATTTATTTTACTTATACATACCTTCTACTCCGAAGGCTGAAGGGGGAGGAAGGGGTTAAACGCTTACCTTTCTCCGGCGCCGTGCTACCTTGGCGCAGGGGACTCTCCTCCTTCTTCCGACGTCATTGGCTGAATGCGCATGCGCGGCAAGAGCAGCACGCACATTCAGTCAGTCCGTTTCTCAATGCTTTCCTACGGACGTCCAGCGTCTTCTCACTGTGAAAATCACAGTGACAAGCGCGGAAGCGCCTCTAGCGGCTGTCAATGAGACAGCCACTAGAGGCTGGATTAACCCTAATGTAAACATAGCAGTTTCTATGAAACTGCTATGTTTACAGCAGGCAGGGTTAACCCTAGATGGACCTGGCACCCAGACCACTTCATTGAGCTGAAGTGGTCTGGGTGCCTATAGTGGTCCTTTAAGTAATTTATGCAAATTTTCCAGCTGAAGTGGTAGAGGTTAAAACAGTGAGGGAGTTTAAGCATGCGTGTGGTAGGCATAAGGCTATCCTAGATATAAGATAAGGCCACGGACTAATGAAAGTATTTAGAAAATTGGGCTGACTAGATGGGCCGAATGGCTCTTATCAGTCGTCACATTCTATGTTTCTATCCCACCTCATGATTAGCTTTCCAGGAACTGCTGGAACCGAGGTTAGAATTATTTAGAAAATCTTTCATTTCAAGAATTATTAACATACTACAGATGTATGTTAAGAACAGTAAAAGACAGTAATAAACCATGAACAGTAATAAGACATCAGTCGGTGTAGAGACGTATTTTGTGTCTACTTGCACAAGGTTATTCCTGGGCAAGATCAGTGAAGTATATTTGCTATATTTAAGTGCTTATACTCAACTTGACCCTCTTGGCAGAGAGACTTGCTCATAAGCCCTTCATACTTTTACTGTTCAGGGGAAGCCGGTCTGGCTCACTCAGATGATGAGATATAGTCGAAGTTAGAGAGAAAGTAAGACCAAGATGAAAGAATGAGGGGAGAGGGGAGGAAGTTAGAATGATGAACTCTGCAGGCTTTCAGACAAGACTTGAAATCGCATCCTGCCATACATGTAATTCACGTGCTCCTAGGCTTGAATCATAAAGGATATCTCATTTTTACATACTGTGGGGCATTGCCTACAAGCCTCATCTGACATTGTTCAGAATTGTTACCTATCCTGTATGGCTATCTTGTAACCCTCAACTGAAGGCCCCTACGTTTCCAGTATGTATAGGCATCACAAGGCTCCACACAGGGAAGGAAAGAGCACAAAGCTTTGCAGAGAACAAAGAAAGCAGTCAAAGGTTTTACAAGGCAGGAGAAATCAGCATAAGTCTCTGCAGGGGGTGAAAATGGGACAAGAGGTTCTGTTTGAGACGGAAAGGAGTTGGTCTTACATTCTGTAAGGTTAAAGAAGTATCACAGGGCTCTGCAGGGGCGGGGTTAGGAGGCAGCAGCTAGATATATGCAGTTAGTTACATTACTGAAATGGAACTTTGTAGACTTACCAGATTTAAGCAACTCCCTAAATCTGGTAAAGTTGCAAACAGAGCTTGTGACTGTCTTCTGAATGAGACACTTAGACTCCTAAGATGTCTCCTCTGTTCTTCTTCATAAGGAAGGAGTTCCATTGAATCAGCAAACACAGGTTGGTTTATAGGCTGAACATCCTTGCATTATTTCCTATAACCGTAGAAATAATCCTTACAATATATCATCATCATCCTTAAATTAACACATGGACAATCCCCATCATCTCCTATTTGAAGGCTTTTGAGCATATCCTACCAGCCACAAGATCAGGTTGCCTAAGGCTGATGATTGGAATTGTGATACAGAATGACATCTTGGCCTTATTCTCTGGGATATCTCAACTGTCCCCATTTTCCAGCAGGATATGGAGTTTATGGAAACCTTTGTATTCTCCATCAAGCTAACAAGTCTGCAGAACTCAAGACTAGTTTTCAAAGTTGTCAGTCTGACCCCCAGAAAGCGGACCATCAGCCAGTGCTCTGTTTCCCTCCGGGACTTGTGTGAGGATGAGAAGGATTATTGGCTAGATGTGGCACCATCTTCAAAAGTATTGGTGAGTCAAACCACTCCTGTATTTCATGTAAACTTGTCTGCAACTGAATTTTGGAAGCAACATTTCAGTATCTGAATGTCATGATGTCTGAAATTGTAATAATATTTTACTTACATTTCATTGCCTTCAGCATGAAGTTAGTATGCACCTGCGCTCACCTATGGAATGCATCATAGGTAGTCCCAGCAGCTAATGTTTGATCCTGTGCCTGTATTTGTACATGTGGTTAAGTTATAACAGAATTGCAAACACAGCCCAATACATCTTCTATTAACCATAGGGGTCTAGAAGAATACCCTGTTTGAGGAAGCCAATCCTACTGTACCCCATTTATTTATTTAGATTTACCTGTTACTCATTATGCTTTATTGTCATTTCACGTGTAAAAAGTTTATGTATTTAGAACTTGTACTCTGCATGTTGCAATTTAAATTTTGAGGGTTGATTGAGTGATACTCTAATGGTACTACAATCGTAACAAAGAATTTGCAGCATCAGTGAGGTCAGGGTTGGGAGGAGCCTACGATTACCTGCTGTGGACTTGTGTTCTCATCTTTCTTGACCAGACTTTGTTGGGTCCACAGCGTTTCAAGCATTTCTAGGGGATTGTGGGTACATTGATGTAAAATATATCAGTAAAAACCTTTCACCACACTAAATATTTCACAATATAAACCGCAAACAGTTTCACTGATAGGTTCTCTTTCTACACATAGCATTTTCTGTCCAGAAAAACAGTATCTTTAGTCACAACTGGTTGACGTACATAGTGTTCATTGTCCGCTCCACGGAGAACACTTGTATACAGCTTTTAAGAAGCTTGGAGGGTTTTTGGAGAGCCATATATATTAAACCTGCCTAAATAGGTGGGTTTTAAAGCACTTCTTAAAAGACTGGAGGCTAGGAGATAGCTGAGGGAAAGGACAAGATAGGACATTTGCAATGGTGATACCCTTGAGAAATCCTATAGATTAGTACGAATCAACAGCTGAGTGAAGGAAAAAGTGACATTAATTTTTATTTTCATTGAAGAGAATATATAATAGGGAGTGGAATTGTCGAGTACTTTGTAAGTTATGGTCAGTCATTTAAATTGACTAGTTAACAAATAAACCTTTAATGTAAATGTTCCACCAATATATCTAAAATAAACAGAACTCAATATAGAGGTTTTGTTATTTTTGTATTAGTGTGACCTGTGTGAAAGAATATATTATTTGTTTTAAAGCATAGCGTTCTACGTGTTGTCTTAGAATGCTATAGAACTCAGAGCTCTGTGACGTTAATCCCCATCGTATAACATTAACAAGAGATGCGAAGGGGTGTGTGTAAATACTGGATTTCCCAGGCAATGCAGGACAGGCTGTGCTTGACAGCTGTTTGCTGAAATGTACGTGTATTTTTTTTATTTTTTGTTTTATGGTTCTCTACGTTGAACATAAGGTTTTCGTGCGAGAATGTTACTGTAATACAACAAGAGCTTGTAATGGCTAGGAAATGAATTGCTCAGTGCATTGTACCTGCCATTGTGACTGTGCATTAGTGTCTGACCTTTACATTGACTTTGTTTTCACTTCTATTTTACAAAGCTGTATTATTCTCCATTTAACTCTATCATGCCTGGGGTCTGATTAATGCATTTTAAAGCTGTATTACATATGCATTATTGAGCCATTTATCCTGTCTCTGACCTAGGAAAGCAGGCTACCCCTAGGTAAAGTAAGCAACTCTGAAAAATAGTTTGTAAAGAGAGAGAGGACGATCCACTTAGTTGGCCTAGATTTACAACTTGTTATGCTGTTTGTTGTTTTTTATTGTTTTATTTTAATAAGTGTTTTTTTTTTTTTTACTCTCATCTCAAGTAATACGGTTGTGTGTGTGACTCAACTCTGAGACGCAACACAGCAGGAATTATGGGAATTGAAGTTCAACTACCAGATTCCTACTCAAACCTGCAGTTAGCCTAATTTATTAAAACTACCCTGTACAAAGATACATCTGTGCTGTGAAAAAAACAATTGAAGGTAAACAGGGCAAAAGCTATATGATGCGACTAATGTCTTTGATAAGGAAATGTAAATGTTACATGCCAGTGATATGTGGTCTTCAATAATTAAACAGTAAAACCAATATGATGACTGTCAATAACAAATATACTGGGAATGGTAGGTGTCCAAAAATAAAAATATATTTCCCATAAAGTCCATTTTTAACTATTTCATAGCCGGGCCACTCTCCGGAGACAGTCTTAGCCCTCTACATTGTTCCTTTAGGCCGCCAGCATACCAAGTGAAAGTTCTTGCGGTTATCATGAAAGAAGCCATTGTCTGCTAATATTTCTCCTGAACTGTCCTGTTTGTCCATTTGCGCAGGTCTGTCACGCTGAGCTGCAGATTGGGACCTGTTTTCAGGCAATAAATAGCCGGATTCAGTTACAGATTCTCAAGGCTCAGAACTTGCCTGGCTCCTCCACGCCACTGTCTCTAAGTAAGTCCAGAATAAGTCTCTTGTTTGTCTGCCTCGTTGCCATAGCACTTGGCATCCCTTCTTCATTCTTAAAGTCAGACGTAGTCCAGGTGGATTAACCTGTTCCGTAAGAAAAGTCTTGGTAAAAAAAGGACACAAGCTATGCAGAATGTGGGTGTCCACAGAGGATTTGAACCACGGCAGTGCCATTTGGCATACGTGAGAGTTGAGCTTGCGATTTAGAAAGGTGGTTGTCATTGTGCTTAACCCTTTCACTGCCGGATGGGCTCATTATATCATCTATTGCTCACCCAGCACTGAAAAGGTTATTACTTTTGTATTTTGACATTGGGAATCAGCATTCAATCAATTTTAAATATGTAAAAAGTAAGCCCTGGGCAGCCAATGGCAATTTTGTATTTGTGGGGCACCGACTAAATGTCTATAGCTTCATGGACAGACACAATATTGGCCATCTGAGCTTTATGCTTTAAGTGGGAAGAAATACGTTAAGACGGCTGTTAATTCTAAAGCAATGACACATTCAGTAACGCAGTGGGTACAAGAAAAATGATATACAGTGAACAATGCAAGAATTAAAGCAGTATATTGAGAGTCCTGCTCTTGGCAGCTTACAGTTTAGTGAGACTTAGAACACAGGTAAGTATGCATAATGATGTTAGCAAAACGCTTCTCAATGTATTTCTCTGACAGTCTGTAGATCAAAAAAACTAATAATGTGATTATGTTTATGGTAAAGTGCCAACATTTTCTGCAACGCTGTACAATGGGTACATTAACAGAAGGTAGCAATCAAGAGTTCAATACATAATTAGACAAAAATAAAAAAACATCCATGCCTGTAATTCTAAAATCTAGCATGTGCAACATTTTTCTATTAGGTACAGAGCAAGTTGACCCATGAGCTTACAATGGAGTTGATGTAATGGGTATAGAGACAATAGGTAGCAGGGATTGCAAGATGTTAAGGCAAGAAAGAGTCACAGAATGCCAGAGAGCTATAAACATATAAGGACTAGAGTCCCCTAACATGTAATACACTTTGTTCCGCAAGTATATTAGATCATATCTTAATGTTTTGTAGTGATGATTTTATATAAAAAATGCAGTTCTGGTGCAAAATTCTAAAAGTGAAGCAGTCTCCATGGGAACCAAAGGAATAGTCCCTGTGGATTTCTCCACTTTTAAAACCAACATCTGTCTATAACTTTTGTTTTCTGTTAACAACACAATAACATACCTCCCAAGTGTCCCTATTTAGGACGGACAGTCCCTATTTTGGGCCCAGGTCCCTTTGTCCTCTTTTCCTCTTAATGTCCTTGTTTTCCAGGTTTTTTTGTTGGTGTGTCTGAGTGCATAAAACAGCTCCACAGCAATAACACACAGTATTGTGTCTTTAAACTACAATACATGTGTTTAGAAATCAGTCTAAATAAGATACATTGTTCTTGTTCTGAATTATATTTTAGTTGCATAAATTGTCATTAGTAGTATCCTAAAATTTCTCAGAACACACCATTTCTGGCCACACCCCCACTCACACCTAAAATTAAAGTGCCTGTCTTTGTCCATTTGAAATGTTGGGAGGTATGTAATTGGGGTATTCAGGTGAAACTGCGGATCATTGTTTGTGAGTATGAATGAAACTGAAATGGAGCTTAAAGGTGTAGTGTGTAAATATATACCACTAAACTCTCAACCTATAATGAGTATGCTTGCTGAATTGTATTCCAATCCCACTTTATCCTACTTTACTTTGATTTTAATCTAACTCATGTGATGTTTAAACTATTGCTAGCATACTTCTGTTAAACTGAGTGCCGAGCACTCTCAGTAATTTTTACCTCATCCTCAAGTTTCACAATTTGATTGTTTCACTAAAGTAAAGTTTCAGACTCTGAATTTTTCCACTCGTTGGTAGCTGTTAGATATCCCAGGGTTATACATATTTTAAAGTTGCTAGGTAAATATTTTTCATATTAAGTCACTTGTGTTCTTTAAGGCTAGGTCAAATATGTATAATTTTTGCAGTCGGGCCAAATTTTTATTTTTTAATGTTTTGTGTAAGGCAGCATTTTGTTGCTTTAATGCATTTTTGGAGTGATTAGGAGACCTTTCAGTAAAAGTCACCTTCTGTCTGGTCTTATAAATCTTTATAAAATGATGACAGTGCAGACATTAAAAAGCTTTCCATGAAGGAAATGCCCCCATGCCATTGCCTACACTATTTAATAATAGAGCTAACCTTATGCTGTAGACTAGTAAACAGCTGCTATATGCTCAATTCAGTCTACTCCATCATCCTGGGAGATGGAGGGTGCATGGATCGCCTGGTCCCACAGTCCAGTCATCTTTAGCAAGTTAAAACAGAAATTGGGTCTAGTATACTGCAGTATTGAATAAAAACATTGCAAATTTATTGAATTTTCAGAATAACAAACATTATTTTGACCTCTATCAAATCCTCAGTGGAAACATTGCTTGTTGGTTTGGAAACTCAATAAATCTAAAGTGCTTTCATGAATGAAGTTTGCTGGAACTCTTTCCTTGTGAACTCCATGAGGAGACAGTACGTAGTGAGAAGGACACCTCTATATCAACACATTTGGACTTTCATCTAACAGTGAACTTTATATTAGCCAAAAATTGACTTTAATCAGTGATAAAAAATAGTATGAAATAAGGTGTAACCTCTTTACTGAAACTCATGTTTTTGGGTAAAATTTCTGCAGATTTCTTTGTGAAGGCAGAAATGTTCAGCACTGAAGGGCTTCTCTACAAGAAGAAGACACGTCCACTCAAATCAACAAATGCTCAAGTTACTTGGGGAGAAACTATGCTCTTTCCAGTGACGCAAAAGGAGGAAGGCATCAACTTTTTGATCAAACTTTACAGCAGGAGCTCAGTGAGACGGAAGCATTTCATTGGTCAGGTACGACCATCTTCACAAGTCTTCTCCTTCTTGTTTAATAGGTTTCAGTAGATTTGGATATACTCTTTACCTGCTGCTTTGATGATGGGGCTATTTCTAATATACACATTTGTAAACAGTTGTTCCACCTTTGGTTAATTTTCACCATTGAGCAGTAACCGATATTAAATTACATCTCTATGATGTCTAATTACATCTCGTATGACGACAATAACACGATATCTCAGGAGGTTGTTCCCAGTGTCCCTAAAGTAAAACAAAACTGTTCTTTCATCAGACATTCAAAGTCCATTTTTTTCCAGGCACAGGAAAGATCACTTTTCAGTACTTTTTAAATGAATTTTAGTGGGATGCGGAAAAGTCAGCTGTATACATGACATTTAGGTGGATTATTTTCACTTTCTTAAATGTAACCCATTCATCCATTGTGTTCCTTAAATAGAAGTTAAGAGTAAACCACTGATGAAACTATAAAGATTGGTTTACATTGTGGACAATGGGAAAGAAGCTTATACCTCCTGTGAGGATTTCTACACATTAAATAGGTCATACTCCCGGACATTGAACAAAACTTTGATCGCTCCTTGAGTGGCCAATAAAATAAATCTCTTGGCACAGAGAACTTATTGACTATTCAATCTGGATAACTGTCTGGTTTTAACAATGACAGAATTTGTGGGTACGTGTAATTTCAGATGACAAACCACAAACCAGGAGGTCTATTAGGCTTTGATGTTGAACAATGTTCTTGGTGACCCTCCTAGGTGCTGAGCAGCAACAAGACTATACAACTTACTCTAGACAGACTTCAATGTTTATGTTCTCCTATGGAATAGCTTGTTGACTCAATGTTGACTGAGCTCAAGCATTTAATTTGTCATTTTTAATGGAGTTACAATCAAGAAGATTATGAATTCAATCTCATTCTCCAAGTTACCACATAGCTGTGCTGAATGAATACCCCAAATTATTCCTGAAATTTGTAATTTTGGGAAGTGTTCTTGGGCCAGCTTGATGAAGAGGCCGGATCGCTGAAACGTTGTTCAGGCTGTTTTATTTCAACACGCTAGTCAATTACTAAGTTGTTTTAACATACAAGATATATATATGGTTACTCGTCACTTATATTCCACCTTTACATAATATTTAATCATATTTGTAATGTTTGTGGACCCAGGACATACTTGAAAACGAGAGAAACCTTAATGTATCCTTCCTGATAAAATATTTTATAAATAAATAAAATCAGCCTCTCTGCAAAATCTCCAGCCATCAACTGGGAGTGTGGAAATTGCATTTCTAATCATGAAAGACACAACATGTGTTTTTTTTAAAATACGTATTCATCATTATTCCTTACCAGATTTTTCTTATTGCCTCAAAGCCTGGGGGTACATTGTCTTACCTGTCTACAGTGGTACTTTCACATATTTGAACAGTAATAAAGTCTGTAAAATTGAATACAGGTGGAGATTGTTGTGTGCTGGGGCAACTAAGGCAGTTTAAGACAGTTTTTAAGAGGTATAATTTTTTACGGTGAGGTGGGAGGCTGTGGAGTGGATACAAAGTCTCATTCCAAGGTAGACACTGAGTTCTCTGTATGATCTAATTGTGCAGACAGAAACATGGCTGGCCTGCTCCCTTTCCCTTTAGTTTTTGGGAGACAGCCAGACTTCTTTTCACAAGATGGGGAAATCTAATAAACACAGGAAAGTCTCAGCTTTCCTTTGCTTTCAGCCAGTTTTGTGCAGGTGCAGCAGTGCCCCAAACATCTGTACCCTCCACGTGATATACAGTGGGATTCAGAGGCATCCTGTTGCATGTCATGCTCAATGCAAAACACTGGGAACCGTAAGATGTGATTACATACATGAGTTGGATAATTGTTTTGTATTTTTTGTTGTTGTATATTATTACCAGAAACAAAATGTGCGTGAAATGCATAGGAGGATATGGTTACACATTAGGCTGTAAACAGAAAGAAAGTAAATTAACTTTTAGGGAGTCAAACTGGGCTCTCTGTACCCTATATGTTGTAGGACTACAGCTCCCGTATTACTCTGCCACCCTGTGGGATTATGGGAGTTGTAGTTCGGCAACAGGTGGGCATATTATAACCCTTAGTGCAGACTATGCAACTGTTGACCTTCTACCATCTGCTAATGTTTTTTGCACTTTGCATATTCACAGGTGTGGATCAGCAGTGACAGTAACAGTCCCGAGGCTGCTGATCAGTGGACTGATACAATCCACAACCCAGAGAAGGTGGTGACCAAATGGCATAAACTGAATCCTTCTTGAAATTGTGAGAAACCAGAGGGAAATACCTGGATCTAGGGACACTGCACATTACTGGCTGGATGAGTGCTTTAAGACATTGGATTTCATAAATGTGCGCAGGCTGTGCTAGACTGTGGGATCTAACCATACTATTTCCTCTCTACACTTGGAAGGACATACTGCTTATAATAAAGCATGGATCGCAATCAATAATTAATACACCAACAATTCAGGTTTGGGGGACAGTGGTGCGATTTGGGAATACAAACTTGAAATTCTCAATTTGGCCTTCCGACCCGTCTTTCCTGTAACAGTGTAATTTTCTACCTTCTCATCTCTCACGTTCTAGATCAGATCAGAGGTTGGCAACCTTCGACACTCCAGGTACATCTCCCACAATGCCATAAAGCTAAAAAAGCATCAAGGGATACATAGTCGGCAACATCCGGAGTTTCGAAGGTTGCCTATCCCTGTTCTAGGCTTATAATGAGCAGGATAAACATGCGTGGTATTTTTCTAGCTCAAATTATTTACTATGACATTTAACATGAGAAGTCATCCCATTTCATGCAAATGTATAGACATAAAATAAATGAAGTGTGTTGTGCAAAGCAAAAAAATAAGTATAATTCAAAAGAAATGCGACCGTGAACAAGTACTGCTTTTGTTGGCATATATTCAAATTAAATGTTGTAATATACTTTTAGACTGGATCCACTCACGTGGACAAAACTATTCCGTCATCTAAGACAAATGCAGATTCACAGTACAGTATTTGTAACAGATATATTGTAAATTGGGTTAAAAAAACAACAACTTGCTAAAACAAATGATAAAGGAACCCAATATATTCCTTGATTTAATATCTTGGATGAGCTTTTCACGTTATTTAATATTTATTTAATAATTATCTTTTCAAAATACTGATATATAAAAAAAAAAACATTAACATTTTAAAATAGTTTTCAACAATTAAATCATTTTAAAAGCTTATTCAAAAATATTAAATTGAGGCCATAGGGAAACTCACAAATGCATATTCTTGCCTGGCTCACCTAACTTGAGTTCTTGGACAACTAGCCTAGTCTGTCTTGTTTTACTTACTACATGAATGGCTTCATCAAGATGTATGTCAATAAATGCTAACAAAAGAAGTACATATTCATTTTAAAGATAGAATGAAAAAGAGAAAGAAATATATAATGTTATGCCTATATGAAAAAATTTGAATTTGAGAAGTCTACCATATTCCCAAAATGAGATCTAAACAGTTACTGATTTCCTAGGCACGTTTTGTTTGCATGAACTCAAATTCTTCTTTTTGGCCAATATATGAAGTTCTTTAAGAAATGTAGCATTCCGTCATGTCTGTGGTCAGATTTGAGTTCCAGGAGTTACTATTTACTATGGATACCATGGAATCACGGCAGTTCTGTACAGAATCATGTGAGGCAATGTACGTTCATGAGCAGAGAAAGTGCTATGGTAACTTAAGCCTGAATAAATATACCACCTTCAGCTGAGAGTGAAAAAAGGAGCATTTTCAGGAATACCCATAGCAAATCTTTTATATCCCAACTTGGGAATGTAGTGAACCTGCCTGAAAAAGAGGGGGAAACAAATAAGCTTTTTTCCTTTTTATCTTACATTACATTTACAGTAGTATGTGCATCCATATATGTATATATGCAAGATGCATACTTTTTCTTTTTTACGTTAGTTGTCCACGGTTTTCCATAAGTGCTCTGTATCACTCTGCAGTAGCAAATTCACAAAACTTTTATTAGAAATGGGTTCATTTAGACTATTTTAGCCCTGAATTGTTTGCTTTTGTTGTAGCATAATGTGTACGGTTTAACGTGTTCAACTTTTAATGACATTATAATACCCTAAATTATATTAATTTTATTTTGCTGGTAATTCAGTTTTTTTCCTCAATCTACGCAGCTACACAGACTCCTATGGGAGTTAATAATCTGTATCAGACAGACAGTGTATTTACCAGGTTATTTCAATTATGGTCAGTGGTCCCTTTCAAAAAGATGAATGTTTATTTGTACATTTATATAGATAAGTTGCTGATACTTTAATACATTCAATATTTCACGATTTGTCAACCATGTTGGATCCCATAACGTCACTTTAGGATGCACTGCCTGTATGAAGAGGTGGGTTAATGTGAGCCTACAATTTTGACCCCATTTGTCCATGTGGAGACTTGGTATGGGGATTTTTCATGTATCCAGTACTAATGTTAGGACAGCAAGTTTTTTTTCTAAAATGTGGTTTCATTGAGTATTCCACTCAGATACCATTTAGTGGCAGATGTATGGTGGGCCCAGGGTGGTAAATGCCCCCTGCCCAACAGAGAAGTAGGAAAGAGGAAAATGGCGAGAATGGGGAAGATGAAGAAACATGAGTTGACTAGAGGAATGGCATAGCAATAACATTTACAGCAATGTATAGAACAGGGAAAGGTAACCTTCGGCACTCCAGATGTTGTGGACTACATCACCCAGCCCTTACACACATAATGCTGGCAAAGTATCGTGGGAAGTGTAGTCCAAAACATCTGCAGTGCCGAAGGTTGCCTATGCCTGGTATAGAAGATGCTATGTGCTGGATTTCAAATCTTTTTTCCTACAATGCACAATTTGCCTTGTTTCTCAAAGAAAAGTTGCTTTGCCAGTTGACTTGCCAATGTAGTATTACTGGAAAACAAAAGTGCTGACAAAAATCAATATGAAATAAAAATAGTTAACTGATGTATTTGTAGTATGAAATTATAGATTGTAAGCTTCTGGGTTCCAGAGATAATAGTCATTAAATATATTTGTCATTCCTTTTGATATTTAATGTGTTGCCAGTCAGCCTAAAGATGCCAGGATTAAAAATACTGCTTTATTTTACCAGATTTTCTCAAGAATTGTTTGGTTAATAATGTAATGTGTAATGTTTTGATTTTTTCACAACCACACTGTTTTATTCCATTTCATCTTGGCCACAAAGGGTGTGCCTTGGCTTATTGCCAGATGCGGTTTTGTGGATTTTTTATTAATCTTTGATTAAGATTAAACAAACTTCCTGAATTTTTGCTGAATGGCTTATCTGAAAAACAATTAGTTTGTCATTCGACCAAATGATTTGGTAATTTGTTATAATATGTAAAATTTTCTAAATCGTGTTTATCTAGTTCTCAGTTTTCAGTTGGTTTAAACCTTATCCTGACCTCACCAGTCTGTGTTCCCGTCACACGACGCTCACTTTTTCACTGTTACCTGCAATAGATCTTCACCATTCACTCTTCTATGACCCTTACCTTTCAAGGTGGCATCTTACCTCCTCCTAATACATAATTTGCTTCTACTTTTACCTGACTTATAACATCCACTGTTACAGCCAACCGATCTTCACAGGACTCTCGCTGGTCCCTATTAATTCAATCTGACCATCATTATTTGTTTTATACATTGTATAACTCATATTTCACTGTTGAATCCAATCAACCCTCACTATTATCTGGTACCATCACCCAATTCTAGTCATCCACTCTTACTTCCACTTGACCAACATTATTATTTATTATGTCCACCTGATCTTCACAACTGTATCTTACTGTTTAAACCCGCACCATTCGCTGTTATTTCCTGACCACTATCAACCACACTTACCTCCACCTAATTCACTGTTGCCACCATCTGACCTGATATCACTGTTATCTCCTTCGGATTCCATTGTGCCAATATGCATATATTGTAACTGTGTGCAATTAGAGTTGAAATAGTGACACATTATAAAAATGGACTTTTACCTTTACAGCCACATTAAACATTTGTATTTCTTTATTAGAGTGCACACCCTCCGGTTAAACAGATGTGGCATGCCATAACTCCTGGGAATTCCTCCATGCCATCTCACAATCTAGGTCCATGTGCAATAACCATGAGCTTTCAGAACTTGGAGACAAACATCTATTGTAGTACTATGACACCCATAATTCCTTGCCTGGCAAAGCATCATCAAAGTTATAGTTCTAATCTACAGCAGGAATCAAGAAATGTGGTCCCCAAATGTTGATGGCCTGCAACTCCCAGAATTCTTTGAATGCAATACATGGCCAGAGAATTATGGGAATTGTAGTTAAGCAACATCTGGGTGGACAAAGTTTGAGAAGCCTGATCTAGAGGACTTCCACTTGTGATGTGAATATTATATCCTGAAATCAGAAACTAATCAGTGTCATTCCTCTTTAATTTATTAACACTAGTAACTGTATTGTGTTTTTGTGCTCTCCTCCTTAAGGCTTGCTTGGAGACGAGAGAAAATTCAATGTACTATTCCTGATTAAATAACAATGTCAGAATAATTCTGTTACTAGTGGAACTTAAATAAAGGTTAAGCCCTGAGGGATGGAACATCTTGATTTGAGTGTTTTGTTTGACTCATTCAAGGGGATTGAATGTTTGCACAGCTCAGTATCTGAGACAATATAGACAGTTTGGCCGACAAAAGAAAACTGATGGAGGGAGAGCCGGTGGAAAGTTCTGAGGCGGGACACAGGTAGACTTGCCAGTTCAGATGCAAGTGTCAGATTGCAGATATAGTGCTAGTACATAGTGTGAGTATAGACTCAAAAGGTTCAAAATGGATATAGGTGCTAGAACAGCTAGAACAGAGTGTGTGTACAGACTCAATGGGTAGAATTCCAAGAGAAGTGCTGGTATGGAGTGTGGGTACAGACTAAATGGGTAGGGTGCCAAGAGATGTGCTGGTATGGAGTGTGGAGGGTGCCGATAGAGCTGTTGTTTAGAGGTTGGGTACAGATTCAAGGGTTAGGGTAGAGAGAAGGAGATGTGCTAGAACAGAGCTCAGGTACAGACTCAAGGGATAGGGTGCAGATAGACGTTCTGGTACAGAGTGTGGGTACAGACTCAAGGGATACGGTGCAGATAGACGTTCTGGTGCAGATTGTGGGTACACACTCAAGGGATAGGGTGCAGAGAGACGTTCTGGTGCAGAGTGTGGGTACACACTCAAGGGATAGGGTGCAGATAGACCTTCCGGTGCAGAGTGCGGGTACAGACTCAAGGGATAGGGTGCAGAGAGACATTCTGGTGCAGAGTGTGGGTACAGACTCAAGGGATAGGGTGCAGATAGACGTTCCGGTGCAGAGTGTGGGTACCGACTCAAGGGATAGGGTGCAGATAGACGTTCCGGTGCAGAGGGTTGGTACAGACTCAAGGGATAGGGTGCAGATAGACGTTCTGGTGCAGAGTGTGGGTACAGACTCAAGGGATAGAGTGCAGACAGACGTTCCGGTGCAGAGGGTGGGTACAGACTCAAGGGATAGGGTGCAGATAGATGTTCCGGTGCAGGGGTTGGGTACAGACTCAGGGAATAGGGTACAGATAGACATTCTGGTGCAGAATGTGGGTACAGACTCAAGGGGCAGAGTGCTGACTGAGATGCCAGAGGAAAAATCCAGGTCTAGACATACAGAGTTATTTACTAATGTGAGAATTGTTGGGAATTCAAAGTGTGTTTCAAATATAAGGGCAAAGTAGCCAAAATGGATTTCTCCAGATTATTATTATTATTATTTCACTTTGAATTCCCATATATATTACTTTTCTAAATAACCCTGATAGTGTAGATTTAGATAGAGGTGATGGTGCTGATGATGATTTAGGCAGTGATGGTTACAAGATTGTTAATAAAGGAAGCTGTACAACCCCCCACTAATAATCAAAGCTATGGCTTTTCTGGGCAGTTGGTGAAATCTATGCATTTGCCTATAGCACGGGTCACGTGGTGCAGGACCCAGAAAACATTGTTGCTCACCAATTAGGCAGTAATAATGTTAAATAATTCTAAAGTAACAATTTTAAGTAGGAACTGCGTTTCCATCAACGGTTCTATAACTTGGCCTGTGTTTATTACGGTAACAAAGAAAAAAGGTGTCTGTTGATAGAGACATCCTGATGTTATGTTAGCGTAAACTGATGACAACAATGTAAAACCATTAAATTGCTGCTGTGTGTCCGTTATGACCCTTGCGTTATTGGAACTCTTGTTTTTCAGTGGACAGAATATCCTGTATCCTGACATTCTGACCTGTATCTGCTTTTGTCTTCGTTCATTTTTTCCGGTTACCTAGATAACACAAATTCGTGTATTTATCTATTTGGTGGTAAATTTCATAAATAAGACTTTACCGTTAGGCTTATGACTAAATACCTTCTCCCGAGTACTTGAGTGTATGATGGAAATTTGAAAAATATGATCTCATGTATAATTTATTTACTAAGGTTCTACTTTGATATCAAAGTAAGATTATAGAAAGCCTCTTAGTAAATATTGAGTGAAACTCAAAAAAGTGATATACAGTATGTTCAGAGAGCATCCAACAAAAGTAAAAAAAAATGACAGTTTGAGACACACAGTATAGGGGCATTAATTTTATCATCTAAAACAAACATCCTAAACGGACACTATAGTCACCAAAATGACTTTAGCTTCATGAAGCAGTTTTGGTGTATAAATCATGTCCCTGCAAATCACTTTTTTTTTTTTTTTATAATTCTTTATTTTTGCAATGACACATACTAAGACTTCTTTACAGTTTGGCTCGTGCAGGAGCCCAGTAGAATTTTAGGCATTGGTTACATAGTAAAATAAATATATATATGTAAACAGCGTAGATAAATAAAATAATAGTCCCAATACTAGAATGTCTTTAATTACACCTGTAAAAGTGCTTTAATATGAAATGAGTCCAATGAGTGGCTGGATCTTCTGATGCTGAAGGTATCTCAGTTCAAATGTAGATATGTAGATATGTAAAAGAGACAGAAAAACTCCAATAGTGCAGATTGCAAATCGACAAATTGAGAGATAAAAAACAAACGGCAGATAATCCACTCACCTATTCATGAGCATGGACTAGCTCAAATTTTCATAGCATTCAATGGCGTCAATCCCCCACTGGTAGGATATAGGTGGTGAAATTATGACGAGCTCCTCGGTATATAGAGAGATAAGAAAACGATATAGTGCTCACTGAATTAATGGAAAGGTAAATAGATAAAAGTGATGGAATACTCACATATATATGAGCAGAATATGCTGCTCAATATAATAGTATAGGTTGTATTATCCCCACCTAGGATTCTTGGGCAGGTGCGTGCTCAGATGTAACAGGTAACCAGGTATAAAACGAAAGGTAAAATAATAAAAAGTATTGAATCCACATCCGCTCAAAGAGTTTATATAAGCATCTATGTACCAGGTTGTTTCTTTTTTTGTTGCCAGTTGATAAAGCCCTGTGAGGCGAAACGCGTTTTGGCTGTTTTTTTATATCTGACATATATATTTATATTGTTACTATTAATAAAGGAATATTGGCCCTTTTAGTAGCCTTTATATACCTTTTATTATTTTACCTTTCGTTTTATACCTGGTATACCCCTCCCCCACACGCACACGCACACACGCACACAGAAGGATGGTAAACAAGTATGAAATGTACTAAAGGAATGAAAATCCTGGTCGGAGTAATAAACACTTCATTGTACCTGGGAAAAATATTTGAAGGATTGCTATTAATTATTAATCAATATGCCTTGGTTTTCTGTAATTACTTTCTTCTAGGGAAACAAATATGTTTTGTTGGCATTGAAGGTGTGTGAGGTCTCGAGAGAAGAAAAAAAAATCACAAGAAAATGTACAAACCTGGATTTTCACTGAAGTGAGAATTTAAAGTGAATTCGAAATGAATTTTGGATTTATGACCAAAGTTGCCAAACTGGACGCAGAGCTTACTTAGAGAATGTCTCCAATTTGGCTTTTTTTTTTTTACCTTTAATTCTCACTTTAGTGATTAACCATGTTTTTTCTCTACATAGTAAACTGTGGTGAATTAGAAATCAGATAAAAAAATTTGCAAAGATTGAAAAGTTTTTGAGATCTTTACCAAATCGGATATTTTGGCCTAAATATTATAATTTGTTTGTCAACAGCTCACTGTTTTCATGATTGAACTGTAAAGCCTCATAGTGTAGGCAGACAGGTATTTGATGGGTGTTGTGATTATTCCACAGGACACCAGTGAAATAAAATATAAATAAAACACAACTTAGCTTATAGGGACACAGTCTCCCAAGATTACCTCCCAAATGGTAACCAGCTACAACAGATATTTATATATACAGAATTTAGGGATCTTGCTGGTGAACCTATAAATAATAATAAAAAAAATAACATAGTGCAATAATGTGTGATAAATAAAGGCAAATTCCCAGGTGCACTCACAGATAAAGATGATAACAGCGCCTTGTGGGTGCCACCCTCGATTATAGTAGGGGGCTAAAATACCTCCTTCGGACTCCTCTCCAGACCGGACTATTTGAAACACCAACAACAATAACCAGAGTATTCTTCCAAAAAAGAGGATTTATTGTACAAAGTAAAATAGTATAAAAAAAAAAAGGTTAAATATGTTCATCCTGCGTGTTTCATTAGGAGATTTATTTTATATCTCTTATCCTGCCCGTTCTCTTTGGCGCTACTTATTTTCTGTTTTACTAACTGGAGGGCAAGCTATTATTTTTTTAAGCTGCAGACACTTACAGGTCTGCACTTTGCTGCTGTTTGGGTTATTGTCCCTAATGAATAAGCTGAGTGATCGCCCTACACTCGCAAGTTGCTTTACGCTGCTAGAAGGTGTTTCCTGTACCCTGCACGGATGAGGCTGTGTGCCAAGGCACGATTATCTGTACTGTACCTTTCACTGTGTAACTATGTGCGCCTGCCAGGATGGAGGCACATGTGTGCAATGCCCTTTAGACAGTTCTTATAAACTAGCAATGTGATCCTGCTATGACATGTGACTTTCAGGGAATCACAGTATTAATAATGAAGTTCACGTGAGGGCAACTTATTCCGAAAACAAACAGTTTGAATAAATACTATCACAGCACCCATCTGGCTGGAAAGTTCTATAATGCCAGTATTACTTCATCACCTCCAGCGCAAGGGATTCTGGGCTCTTCAAATACTTTTTTTTTTTTTTTTTTTAAAACAGCTTTCTTTAAATAACAATCCAATGGAAATCTCGTAGATATTCCCTCAAAGAAAACACGCACGCATTTATTTTTTTCATCGGGGTATATCTAAAACAGATTGCAAATGCCGCAGATCTCTTATCTGCAGTCTTTGCAAGCCCTTCCCTTTTTTAATAGCACAGACATAACGTTTGTCCTGGCTGCTGGGGAATACTAAAACAGTGAGTGTGCACAAGTGATCGTGGTTTTCCTATGCTCCTCAATGAACTGCAATACGGCTCACTGACAAAGGGGAAAGGGCGGTGCACTCTTGGCTTGGTGGTCCTGTCACTTCTGTTAGCTCTTTGGAACCAGCAGACGGGGAAGAAAAACTTCTTGGCTTTCTGAGTGACATCCGGTAAAGTGTTTCTTCCCCAATTATAAATTCGCCAATTTCTAATAAAATCAACACTTTTATAAACTGTCACAAATGTAACAGTCTCCAGTCATGTAATGCACTCAAGTAATCTGAATTGCTTTATGCATCTCTCCCAACAGTCCTTTTGGTAGGGCAGCCCTGATTTCGTAATCCTGTCTTGCCATCCCACCTAAATTCCCTGGTATCCAACATCTAGGACACCATGGAATTGTCCCCAGGGCAGCACAGTGTGAGTGAATTATTGGACCCCACTTATGCTGTGCCGCAGGCACGAGGCCCAAGTAGAGAACACTCCAGCAGCTCTTCCTGTCAGTAAGAGGTGATCATTTAGGCTGTTACGCTACCTCAGTGGGCGGACCCACCACCTTTCCTGGGCAGACATGCCCATTATGGACATCGCTGGTGATGCATACCTCCCAGTGTTGGTAGGTATGTTTCATATGTCTGGAGTGTTCTTTTAATTCCCATAATATTTAGCTTAGCTATGCCTGGAGAGTCCTTCATTTTGGCTTCATAGATAGTCCCATAATTTGATTCTATGAACAGTCTGGCCCTGATCACCTCTAACTAAAAGTATATTTATGGTCCATTCTTTTTTTTCTCTAGCAGTTTTCTCAAGATTTCTTAATCCTCCTTTTAATATCTTTGCTGGGATCTTTCCATCTTTGCTGCAGTGCATGGTTTTGGTGCCCCCTTTATCGATGGCTCCTGATGTAATAGGCGATTTTCAACTGGAATACACATGAAGTTGGAGATTCTGAGAGAAAGGTTTTACATTTAAGGGCGTATTTACGCACAGAGGAAACCTACTCATCTTTAAGTTAGAGGTCCTCTGTAATTGCATTTTGAGATAAAACTCTAATGTAGGTCTCCTGAATAAAAACTACCCATAAAGCAAAGCTGTTATTCTGTGTTCTCTAACAATCCTTTGTGCTTATTTGCATATTCCTATGGTCTCCCTAAGTCTAAAGGGAAATCCAGACATGCTCAGATGGATATCGGATGTACCTCACTAACAAGACCTGGAAGAGGCCAAAACAGATGTCTGAATTGTTGTATCTCTTGTGCAAAGAAGAACTATTGTCCCCGTGGCTGAGATCAAACGGATCTACTCATAGAAAAGTTTACTTTGAAATGTCCAGAGGTCTTTGGAGATGTGCCTTTGGGGATACAATCACATAATACAAACAATTAATCTATTGTCAGCTCCTGATGAGTGTCTGTTACATTATTAGTTTGCTTTACTTTCTTTTTTAGATTTACCGGTTTTGCCACGTATTTCCCAATGACACTTTTATTAGCACTCCCAGACTATGATTGCCAACAGTAAGAGAGCAGCATTGCTAGTAGAGGGAGGGCTTTTTGGGTTGAAGACCTGGAAGTGGGGGCATTCAGGACCAAATCTATACAGTTGGTGGAGGGGCACCAGAATACTAGTGGTTTTTTTTTTGCATTAAGCAGCTGATTCTCAGCCACCTTAAGTGAAAAGATTCACTAGTATAGAACTTATCCAGACTACTAGGGAAGAAGGGATGGTCCGCCTCCAGATGACAGACATAAATGTGGTGGTGGACAGAGGGGCTACACTGAACCCCTTCTCCATTGCTCCATGTAGTGTTGCTAACAGGGTTACACTGAATATCTGTCAATTCAGCATAATTTTGTTTCTAGCGATTTTATTATTTTTTAAAAATTCTTTATTTATCAAGTCATGCATAGCAAGTGACCATAATGAAGAACAGGGTACATAAACATTTGCTAATAAAATTAAGCGCAGTAGGGTGTACAGATATGGCAAGTGTCAAGGAACATATTACACAGTACTGGTAGATGCAGATATTTCAGAGCGTCTTACAGGTTTTTTTTCTTTTTTCACTGTTTGATTGTGCTATTGAATTTGATTGATATATATCCCCTGTACTCAAAAGCCCTGTGGTAGCACCACGTCTAGGGCTAAGTTGTTCCCCTTCCTTTGTATCTAGTAGTGCGCGAGTTTGCTTCGTGCCTGTTGTCCGTACATCTGTGCCTTTAACTCATTCATAGGTATCCCACGAAGGTATGAACTATTTTTCGATTCTTTTAAGAAGAAGAGAAGTTAATTAGAGTGAGAAGCAAGAAAAAAGGGGAGGGGTGTTATGCAAGAATAGGAAACTCCCCGGGGACAGGGGGGCAGACGACATAGGTAGTACTTTCCAGCCGAGGCTGGGTGGTTTGTGCCTTTGTGTTGTTATTTTTTTCAGTGGTTAGTGTAGTCTTCCCAGGGCTCCCAGGTTTTAAGGAATAATGGATAGGTGTCTCTGATTTGTGCAGTGAGTTTGTCCATAAGATGAGCTTGTGTTGTGAGTTACCTTGTCCACTTGTGTTCCAGGTTTTACTGGGAGCAGGCAATGTCTGGGGTTGAGAGTCAGCAGTTTTTTGCCTAGGAGACTATGAAATACACATTTGCCTGCAACTACTCTTTTTATTGACTCTTAGAAAAGCTGTATCTAAAATAATCATATTCACAATAAGAAAAAAAAAAAGGAGTTACTCAAGATACTGTTATCCCATAACAAGACACAATACTATCACAAACGTTTAATTACTTCCTCATTTTCCTGCATCAGAGACCAGGATTCTTCAACCACTTTCTCCCAAATTGTTGAGGAATGGCCAAAATTGTAATTATGAATAACAAGCATTGCCGTCTAGCAGGAGTTGACCACCAGAACATTGATATTGTGAACTGGATGGAAGTTTGCCTTTTACTCTGAAAAAAACACACATCTTTCTGGGAGCTGGCCACTTGGGAGCTGAACTGGTTAACCAAACATACATGACGTAGTGGAAGACATCAATCTCAAAGACCATTGTTATTATGTTCACAAAGCATATAACTGATTGCTTATCTCAGAATGGTATATGTAACCCAGAATTGATGGGGAGAGAAAGAGCCTTGTCATGTTTTAAAATCAGCACAACACACAATACATCTACATTACTAATGGACGGACTGAGCAAATATTTAAAGAATTGAGTAGCACACAGGGTTCCAACGTGGGAATGAATATAAACATGCTTATTGGTGATTATTGGTCAATATTAAAAACATCACTTAAAATGATGGATTATTGTTAAATAAAAGTAGTAGGTCACTTAACTAAATCCAGATTTATTTAACTGGAAAGGGGTCCATAAGTATGACAAACAAAAATATGATTGGATTTAATCACTAAACAGTATTTTACAAAATATAAGCAAGAATAATTACTTTTGTTGGGTGAGTTAATACAATAAAGGAGTTATTAGAATTGTGTAAAAGTGTTTAGTTACTGATCTCATTTTGACATCTCCCTATAAGTGAGTAGGAATCTACCTGTAGATTGATCGATCAATCCATCCATCTCTATATACTGTAACAAACCACCTCTTTTACAGGTAGGATTGTCACAGATCTTGCAGTAACCACAGCCTTCTAGGGTATACAAAGTCCAGGACACAGTCAGCTCGGTTTTCCTTTTTATTCAGCAAGAAAACAGGTGCTTTAAAAAATAACAAAACAAACAAAATCCCTTGCTCTTACTTGAGCTCTTACTAGACAGTAATTGCTATCTGCAATTGGGTGGCTTTCCCACTTACCAATTTTCCAAACAAAAGAAATGTCTTTGCAATACACACAATCTCTCCTAGCTGTCTTTTTCTCCCTCACTCTGCAGCAGGCTGCCCTCTTCTTTTAAAGGCCTGTCTACTAATTGACTGGCTACAGGTGAGTGCCAATTAACTAACTCGTAAGTCAGATCCAAATAGTGGTCTGTTACACAGCAACTAATGCTGTTGGAGCATTGGCCCACCCTGCTCTCCAAATACTCCGCCCCAGGGACCCATACCAGGTTTTGCAGAGCATCAGCTATGCATATTGCAAACTTTAACCTCTCTCCCTGGGGCATTTAACTGAAAATCCTCTGGTTGCTGTTTAGCAAATCAGGTCTGATGTATCTCCCATCAACCACAATTCCACTTTTGCGCTCACATATCCTCCCCCCCAGCTCATACCTATGGGTTTGAGCGACCATGGAAATCAGGGAGTGTACCCTCGAAAGCCCATCAGCATTACCTTGTTGCAGACCAGCCCTGTGTTCCACAGTGAAATTAAAAGATTGTAAACTCAAAAACCATCTGGTTACTCTGGAGTTATTTTCCTTGTTCTGATACATCCATGTCAGAGGTGCATGGTCAGTTATCAATCGGAACTTTCTGCCTAGCAGGTAGTATTTAAGAGAGTCTAATGCCCACTTAATAGCAAGACACTCTTTTTCAACAATAGAGTAGTTCTTCTCATGTGGGTTTAACTTCCTGCTCAAAAAGAAAACAGGGTGTTCTTCACCCTGGTATTCCTGTGAAAGAACAGCCCCCAAGCCAACATCAGAAGCATCTGTCTGAACTATAAAGTCCCTGGAAAAATCTGGGGTCACCAAGACAGGATGGCTACAGATAGCTTCCTTCAGACTCTTAAAAGCCTTTTCTGCCTCAGGGCACCATTTAACTATGACTGGGGATTTTGCTTTAATAAGGTCTGTTAGAGGTGCAGCAATGGTAGCAAAATCTGGGATGAACCGCCTATAATATCCAATTAAACCCAAAAATGCCTTTACTTTGGCTTCCTGTGGTTTAACCAAACCCCTCCCAATAGAATAACCTAAGTACTTAGCTTCCTCTAAACCAATTGTACACTTGGAAGGATTGGCAGTTAAGCCCGCTGAGCGGATAGCATCAAGCACCGCTTGAACTTTGGGGAGGTGGGATTCCCAGTCTGCACTGTGGATGATGACATCATCCAATTATGCTGCAGCATAACGAACATGAGGCTTAAGAATTCTGTCCATCATTCGTTGGAATGTGGCAGGTGCCCCATGTAACCCAAATGGCAATACAGTGTACTGAAACAGGCCACTGGGTGTTGAAAAGGCTGTCTTTTCTTTGGCTCTTTCAGTGAGAGGGACCTGCCAGTAACCCTTTGTTAAATCCAAGGTTGTTAGATAACGAGCTTTACCCAGTCTTTCTATTAACTCATCAACTCTGGGCATTGGGTAAGCATCAAATTTTGAGAAAGCATTTAACTTGCGGTAGTCATTACAGAACCTCCATGTGCCATCAGGTTTTGGCACCAATACAATAGGACTACTCCAGTTACTCTGGGATTCTTCAATGACTCCAAGTTTTAACATGCTCTCAACCTCTAAGTTTATAACCTCCCTCCGGGCCTCAGGAATTCTATAGGGTTTGAGATTAACTCTTTTCCCTGGTTCGGTTATTATGTCATGTTTAATCACCTTAGTCTTTCCTGGAACTACCGAGAAAACATCCCTATTTCTTCTGATGAAGTCTCTGACCTCTTGCTTTTGATGTACAGACAGAGTCTCAGATACGTTCACCTCTGGCTCTACTATAGGAGGTTCTGAAGTTTTTAAAGCAACCAGGACCTCCCTGTCCTTCCATGGCTTTAACAGATTTATATGATACAACTGTTCAGGCTTTCTTCTTCCTGGTTGTCTGACTTTATAATTGACATCACTCACTTTCTCTATTATTTCATAGGGTCCATGCCAAGTCGCAAGGAACTTATTCTCCACAGTAGGGACCAGAACCAATACCCTGTCTCCAGGTTGGAACACTCTGACTCTAGCATTACGGTTATAGCTGTTTTTCTGAGCCTGCTGGGCTTCCAGCATGTGTTCCCTGACAATAGGCATGATGGTGGCCATTCTATCCTGCATTTGAGCTATATGCTCAATTACACTCCTGTGAGGAGTAGTCTCCTGTTCCCAGGTCTCCTTAGCAATATCCAATATTCCCCTGGGATGTCTTCCATATAACAATTCAAAAGGAGAGAAGCCCGTGGAGGCCTGTGGAACTTCCCTAATGGAAAACAGTAGATATGGCAATAAAAAATCCCAATTTCTTCCATCAGCATCAATTACCTTGCGTAGCATACTCTTAAGGGTTTTGTTGAACCTCTCTACTAAACCATCAGTCTGTGGGTGATATACTGAGGTCTTAAGATGTTTAACCTGCAAGAGCCTGCACAACTCTTTTGTGACTTTGGACATGAACGGGGTCCCCTGGTCTGTCAGGATTTCTTTAGGGATACCCACCCTACTGATCATCAACATAAGTTCCTTAGCTATTAACTTTGCAGAGGTATTACGCAAGGGAATGGCCTCAGGGTAACGAGTTGCATAGTCCAAGATGACTAATATATATTGGTGTCCTCTAGCAGACTTTACCAGTGGCCCCACTAAGTCCATAGCGATCCTTTCAAAAGGTACATTGTAACGGATCACCTGGCACCCCGACTGGGTACCTCCGTTGAAAGATGCTCCTAGCGCTTCCAGAGGACTCCAAGCACTCCACCAGACACCATAAGCACCGCAGGCTGCAGCTATCTCCCTTCAGAACGAAGCAGGAACAAGCTCTTACAAGAGCTCAGTGATTATAGCAAGGGAATATGCATGGCATAGCAATCCCTTGTAGCAGATTCCCCCAATAAGAGACAGGACTCAAGTTGAGGGTAAAAAACAGGAACTCTCTGGCTGCTAGCTTGCAGCCCTTTTTATTAGGTGCTCCCATGAAGGGGAGGGACACACACAGTAACGTACATTAACCAATCACACAATAGTTACATCCCACACATAGCCCTCCCCTCTACCTGTAAACTAATTATCTGTACACACAGGAAAATACAATTATCATAGGTAGGGAAAATACAGTTTTTACACAACATTCATAACTCCCAAAATATACATCACATTCGCATAAAAATACATATTCACAATCAATCCATTCAGGGGAACAACATATTAAAAAATGGCATGAATCAGACCAGGGGTTCAAAAGTTAGTAAAAGTATCTTTTGTTCCCCCTGGCTCAAACAGTAAAAGTAAAACATCCCCACAATGCATCCTGGCTTCCTCCCTTCTGCCCTGGAGATAATTGGAGAAGGAATCTAATTATCTCCAAAGACAGAGCCAAACTCCATTACCCACATGGCAGACAAAAAGACAGTAAAAGACATAAAATTACATACTGACACATTTAGTACATAAAACACACATTTCTACATATCCCCAGATAGCTTGGATCTGACTGCACATTATTAGATGAATGGCACTCAGATGACACGAATAAGCCTTTCTGCAGGGAAAATAAACAGTTTAACCTGCAGGGCCATAGTCCAAAGGCAAGAGGCGGGCAAGCAGCCCCCTCCAAGGACATGTGGCGAGGTCGGTTTCGCCACATACATCAATTATGGGTAAGGGTACAAGTGGACTACGAAAAGTCTTGAAAGGAGCCCTGTACTGGCACTCTGGACATGAGGAGCAATAGTTTGTAATAGCAGCAAACACTCCAGGCCAGTAAAACCTTCTAAGGACTCTCTCTCTAGTTTTTTCGACTCCCAAATGTCCCCCTAATATGTGGCTGTGAGCCAACTTTAGCACTATATTTTGGTAAGTCTGAGGAACCAACAGCTGCTTAATGATGTCTGAATCCCTTTTTTCTACACTGTAAATTAGGTCATTTTGTACTTCAAAATAGGGGAACGGTAGGGCTTCTCCTGGCTGATTAGCAACCCCATTGACAACTTTAATATCATTTCTAGCTCTCACTAAAGTGGGATCTTCCCACTGAGCACTTTTAAAATTACCTGGACTGATTCCAATATCAATTAAGTCCTTATCTTTGTCTGCAGTATTAGTAGGCTCCTCACTAGTTTGAGCTGGGTTATCTCCTATTAATACTGGTTTAGGGCAGTACTTTCTCCTTTTTCTTATTTTTCCATCACAATGGTCAAAACCCAAGTCAATATCGGAAAAAGGGAACACATTATCCTCGGCCGATTGACTAATTTCTGATAAAGTTTGGTCCCTCTTTTGTACAGCTGCCCATAATTCTAGAAAGTGAGGAAAGTCTCTACCGATCACTACCTCATGGGCTAATCTAGGTACTACACCCACTCGGTACTTTAAATCCCTATACTGGGTTCCAATATTTACTTCCGCAGTGGGGTATTCCTTTTTATCACCATGAACACAGATAATGCCTATTTTCTGTACATGATCAGGTTTTACACAAGGTATTACAGACTCTGCTACCAACGTAACCATACTACCCGAATCAAGTAATGCTTTAGACATTTTACCATTCACAGTTACACAGCATTTATGAGGGTTATTATCATAGTCATTGTTAACAGTACCATAACAGTTGAGCAAAAATGAACGTGCTCCCTCATCTTTGCCCATATTGCATTCCATAGGTTCATCCTTCAATGGACAGTCTTTGGCCATATGACCATCCTCTTTGCACTTGAAACATTTGACAGTAAAATCTGCCCACCAATTAGTTCCTCTCCCAGGCCTATTAGACCTGGATGCCTCCCTGGTGTTTTGTGTATAGAGCTGCAGCTCTTCAGCTCCCCTTAAACCTTGAACAGTCTTACCAGGTCTTGCAGAATCTTGGGGCTTAGGATTGCGAGGGTTTGCCTGTGAAGTAGGACATAGCAGTTCTCCTGCAGCCACATATCTTTCCACCAAGGCAATCAGTTGGTCAGCTGTATGGGGGTCACTTTGGCTGACCCAGCGACGCAGGGAAGCTGGTAAACCACGCAAAAACCGGTCCATTACTAAGGTTTCCACAATGTGGCTAGCTGAATGGATTTCAGGTTGTAACCATTTCCGTGCAAGGTGTATGAGGTCAAACATTTGGGAACGTGCGGCTTTGTCTGAAGAATATGACCATGAGTGGAACCTTTGGGCACGTACTGCAGAGGTTACACCCAGTCGTGCCAAGATTTCAGCTTTCAATTTGCTGTAGATACTTGCATCGGCTGGTTCTAGGTCATAATATGCCTTCTGCGGCTCTCCACTTAGGAACGGTGCCAGTATGCTTGCCCACTCACCAGCCAGCCATCCCTCCCTCTCAGCAGTGCGCTCAAATGCCAGAAAGTACGCCTCAACATCATCTGATGCGGTCATTTTCTGAAGATAGTGGCTCGCCCGAATCACCTTTGGCCCCTGGTATCTTCCATCAGAGTCTCCATTCAGTTTTTCAGAGATAGCTTGGATTTCCTGTTGTAGTCCCTGGGTGACTTTTTGCTGCTCCTCACGGGCTACTTTAAACATCTCCGTTTGTGTCACAACAAGCTGTTTCACCAAGGACTCAGTGCACTCCATTTGTGTTTTGGCCAGGACTTTAGCACACTCTGCCTGGGCCAGCACCAGTTGCTGCAGGGCTGCACTGTTTTCTGCAGCTCTCCTGTTAGTCTCCTGTTGCACAGAGGTGGATTGGATCAGAGCCTTGATAACATCCTCCATGTTGAGCTTTAAATGACTTCTACCCTCAGGCTTACGTGGCTGCCCGCATTCTCCACCATATGTAACAAACCACCTCTTTTACAGGTAGGATTGTCACAGATCTTGCAGTAACCACAGCCTTCTAGGGTATACAAAGTCCAGGACAGTCAGCTCGGTTTTCCTTTTTATTCAGCAAGAAAACAGGTGCTTTAAATAATAACAAAACAAACAAAATCCCTTGCTCTTACTTGAGCTCTTACTAGACAGTAATTGCTATCTGCAATTGGGTGGCTTTCCCACTTACCAATTTTCCAAACAAAAGAAATGTCTTTGCAATACACACAATCTCTCCTCACTGTCTTTTTCTCCCTCACTCTGCAGCAGGCTGCCCTCTTCTTTTAAAGGCCTGTCTACTAATTGACTGGCTACAGGTGAGTGCCAATTAACTAACTCGTAAGTCAGATCCAAATTCTGGTCTGTTACACAGCAACTAATGCTGTTGGAGCATTGGCCCACCCTGCTCTCCAAATACTCCGCCCCAGGGACCCATACCAGGTTTTGCAGAGCATCAGCAATGCATATTGCAAACTTTAACCTCTCTCCCTGGGGCATTTAACTGAAAATCCTCTGGTTGCTGTTTAGCAAATCAGGTCTGATGTATCTCCCATCAACCACTATTCCACCTTTACGCTCACAATACATACACACTGATCAGCCAACATTATAACCACTTACAGGTGTAGTGAATAACATTGGATTATATTGTTGCAATTGCACCTGCAAAGAGGTGGGATATGTTAGGCAGCAAATGAACAGCCAGTTCTTAATTTCATGTGTTGGAAGCAGGAATAAAGGCAAACAAAAAGATCTGAGTGACTTTGACGAGGGCCAAATAGTGATGGCTAGACGACAGGGTCAGAGCATATGCAAATGGGAAGTCTTGTGAGGTGTACCAAGAATGCAGTGGTTAGTAACTACTAAAAGTGATGCAAGAAAGGACAACCGGTGAACCAATATTAGGGTCATGGGTGCCCAAGGCTAATTGATGCACCTGGGGAGTGTATGCTAGCCTGTCTGGTCAGATCACGCAAAAGAGCTACTGTAGCTCAAATTTCTGAATAACTTAGTGCTGGTCATGATAGAAAGGTTTACAGAAAACAAAAGGAAATCAGCGCTAATTAACAAACAATATGTAGATAGGCAGCAACCCAAATGAAGAGACCCCTCAAATCCTTCAATAGATGAGACAATACAAAGAGTTGGGGTAGGGCTGCGCCAGCGGAAAAAGTAAAATAGTCCAAAAGAGTCTCACTTGAGCAACAATGCTTGATGGGATACAGATGAGTAGTTTTTCAGTAGGGGTGGGTGCGTCCTAGTGTCTATATATATGAAAAACAAAGAAACAGGGGCAACCAGTAGTGCAGTACGTCTAAAATCCAAAGGGTGAAATAGTAGTAAAAGGTAGAAAACTCACATTTAAAAGAGCTATGGCCAGCTCTGGTGTGAAGGGCGTACAACGGTATAATCCCCGCTGCTAGGATGTGTAAAGGAATTGCGTCTATCAGCGCCATCTGGTCATTCGAAGCTCCAGGGGAAATATAAAGAGGCGACAATGGTGCTCTCAATTGGATAAAAGTAAGTAAAAGTATCTAGAGTAATATTTACAGGTGTAGAAGCAGTAAATACTGCTCTGTTATTAAGGCGTTGGTGGTATGATGCCCACCTGGGATTTCTTTAAGTGCAGGAATAATAATAAAAAGCCAGGAAAGTAAAAATAATAAAAGTGCATAAAAATACAATAAAAAGAGAATTTGCACAGTAAAGTAATCAAAAACCTTTCATTGATCTAAAATACACAGTATAAAATCACCATTACGCGTTTCACCAAAAAAGCTTTCTCAAATGGCATAAAAGCATTTAATAGCTTTTATGCCATTTGTCTCCTCGACTCACCAGGAGCGCAGTAGGAGTGCAGCCTCTCCCTGCTCCAACCCTCTCACTGCATCTTCAGCCAGCTGTCCCTTCTACCATAACCACCCCGCTGTGCTGGGTAAATGCCATCTGCAGCTGTAAGGTATGTTACATAGTTGTGCCTGGTGCCACACTATTATTTACACACTATTATTCATATCACCAGCACATACATGGAAAAATCTTGCACTCTAACTCAAGTTAACAATTTAATTCAAGCTAGCGTTTCCAAAATAATTGTGTATAGACATTACAAAACAGAAATATAAAGGGTAATTTAAGTTAGATTGGGTTAATGGCTCTTGGGGCCATTACCTGCAGCCTTTGCAGAGATTAGATATGATGTGATATGAACTGTGACCAATAGATTAGGCTGCAAGTTACAGTTTTTTGGCCATCAAGGTCATCA